CTGGGCACGCTCCTGTATTTCATGCCCCGTGCTCAAGCTTAGCAAGAACTTGGCGGAGATCGTATTTGGAAATCGGGTGATCGAAGTTATTTGAATTTCTCGCCGAGAGCAACGAGACGCTCCTGAGCTCTCTTTGCTGCGGGATGATCACCGCTCCGCTGTTCAAGAGCAATTCAACGTCCTGAAACGAGCCCTCGGCTGGGGGAGAGCTGCTCTATCTCAAAAAATCGAGTCCAGGACGTAGTGAAGGAGGAGTTACTTTTCGAAAAGTTTGAATTTCTCTCTACGCTGGACGAATAAATGAGTTGAAGAATTGTCGATTTAGGTCGAAATTTTGGTGCTCCGAATAGGTTGTCTTCGTCTCGGCTGCATACTGTAGCTCTCTGATTCTTCGAAAGTTCCCTCCCCGGTGAGCTGCTCATCATCTCGGCGGTGCCGCTCACGTTTTTGCTCGTGTTGACGTCCGTTTTTACATCACAGTCGAATAAGGCGACACTCTCTCCCGACATTGACGCTTCAACTGGCTCCTCAGATAATAATTACCAGCCACTCGCGGCGTCGCGAATTCCCCGTGAACGACGATTGCCCCACGCTGTCAGCGGGACCACGGCGAAGGACCCGTGCGAGTCTATGGTCCATCTCGATCACGCTTCCCTGCGAGGGAATCCGTAGATGCGGTCTGATATTAAAGAGGCGAAGATTCGTGTCTCGGGAGACCTTATCCAGGAAAGTGACGCTTATTCCTATTCGAGACGATACTCTCGAACGGGAAATATTAAAAATAAATCATGCATGAGATATTTTCGTAGTTTTTCGTCCCGCTCTGAGCGGGGAAGTCAAATAAAGCGGGAAAAGGTCCAACTCAACTCACAATCATGATTTCGCTCCGGCTCCACTGTTTGAGACTCCGTCAGAGAGATTATCGCAGATCAGCAAGCGGCTCCCGGAAGTATGTATCGCGAGTGAGACGGAATTCTTTTCCCACGAAAAATGATTTTACTCGTTAGTTAACAATTTCACCCACGGAGCACGCAGCGGAGGAATTAAATGGGGCGGAAAAGATGCGAATCGATTTGCAATCATGGCTCGGCTCCAATATTTGAGACACCAGACTTCGAGCGCGGCCGGAGGCCGCGATCACCAAGCGCCACTGCAGAGAACGAGGTCCGCCCTACAGAATTAAATCCGTGCCTTTCAAACCACAAGCGAGGTACAGCGTACCTTAGCAACATAGTACCACATGAGTTCCGAGGCCAAGTAGGAGGTTTTTTCGACAATCACTGGGCGGAGGGATAGAAGATGAGAAAATAACATCAACTTGCACACCGGGGGATCATTCCGCAACCGCCGAATCACAAGTGCGCCGAAATCGGTGGGGAGAAAGAGCCGAGAAACGGCTCACAGACGGAGCGCTTGCGCTTTCATTCTATGGGGGGGATTGTCAGTGACGGATTCCACGTGAAGAGTCAGCAGAAATATCGTCTGCGACAGGACGCGAACGCTGAGAACAACACGACCGATTTGCACTAAGCTCGCTTCGCTTGGGGCTTTGATCGCTTATCTGAGGCTGTGACAAGCGGATCTAGCCTTCTTCCCAGAACTTTTGAGCCGCTATGACGAATTTACGCTTTTTGAGCAAATGTTTTCATCAGATTGATTATCCTGCGGTCCTCCGCGGCTCTGGAGGGGCCGTGTTTCTCGTCGGGAGAAAGTCTTTGCCCGCCCTTCCAATATGGTCGTCTCGGGAGTGGACCCGTCCTGTCACGTACAGGCGCCATGATTCCCCTCAAATCGGTTCCGTGATACTCTGTGCAGATCTTAATGATCCAAAGCTGCCCACTAGTTCACTGCTCACGTTTCTATAGATTAGGCTAAGCTTACGTCTGGACGATATGGTTGGATTATGAAGCTGTAATCATCGCACTAACGTTCGCTCAGCGTTGACGACAAGTTCCCTCTGCGGCGCATGTTAATTCCTGTAGAAAGTGGTTGCAGCGACGCGCTCCCAGTCCCAGGGCTCGACCGATCGACGGGCTCCCTGAGTGAGCGTGATTCCTCGTGTTTCCTGCGCTCGAGTGAGCTCGGGTGCTCGAAGGAATCATGGCGGTTTCTCAGCTCATCGTGGATCAATTAAAGAAGCTGGGGTATTTATTTTACGCGGCGCCGCCCGAAGATATATTCGTCGAGAAACTCGAAGACAAAAAGGCTTTCAGTGTTGAGGTGAGTTGGCGGAGGGATGAGGCACGAGAATTCCAGAGAGCGCGACCTGGTCCTCTATTGCGCACGAACCGGACTCGTTTTTCCTCACCGCGAAGCAGCAGGGCGGTCGGGTTATGAGCGCGTCAGCACCTTCGGAGAACCTTCCGATCTCAGTCATGATGCATTCGAGCATGCGTGCTTCTTGCATTCGTGAACCGAAAAAATATTCCGCCGGCCACACATGGAACCTCGAGCTCCGGCTGGCTGGCTCTCCCTTGCGTGGTGGTCATTATTACCTCGATGCGTCGTTCGATGTTCGGAGGAGCTTAGATGCACTGCGCGCGATTTTCCCGATCGACTGAGACAGGCTATTCCCTAGGTTTCTCCCCCACCCTTTGAAGAATCTCTTCTCAGGTGATTCCGGCCTTCGTGATTTTGATCGTACTCGAACAGCTATGCAATTGGTGGGAGAACAAGTTCTCGGCGAGATTCTCCGCCAACGATGCTGTTACGTCAGCAGCCCAGGGAATGATAATGGAGATAGGGGGGTGAGTTCAGCCACATTTCTTTTGAGCTCTGAATCCACCCTGGAATTATAACAGAAATAAGAGCATTGATCTGCCCTCGAATCCCAAAAACACTTTCTCCAGGATCCTCACCGGCGGCATCGGAATTCTGTGCTACGTGTGGGTTCACGAGAACTACCGAGTTGCCGAACTGCCATGGGACTCGTGGTCGACCTGGCTGGTCACCTTCCTGGCGGTCGACTTCGGGTATTACGTCGTTCATAGAGCAGCTCACGGTTAGTTCGGGAGTCTTCGAATGAACTCGACCCCATCAGTTCGATTCTTGTGATTTTCTTGAGATACTGACGCATGTATCAGTGTAGTGGAGCTCAAAATCGTCAACCCCATTTACAGAAGTCAATATTTTCTGGGCCGCTCATCAAGTTCACCATAGCTCGGAATACTACAATCTCAGCACGGCTCTCCGACAATCTGTTCTCCAGGAACAACTCACTTTCGTAAGAGCTTCCTTAAGAGAGACTTCATTCAGAATATTCGAATTCGACTGGAAGAGGGGGGAGTTGAACCCTGACTCAATAGTGAAAGAATCCATTCACTCATGAGATTTATTCTGTGAGCGGATTAGAAAACCGTCGACTAAGAAAAGCCGAGCTCGAAAACTTCAAATTTCAAAATTGGAGAAAATAAACCCACTGAAGCGAGATCTCAAATTCCCAGTTCTTCTACCTCCCGCTTGCTCTGTTCATACCTCCGCAAGTTTATGCGATCCACAAGGAGCTCAACCTGTTGTTCCAATTCTGGATTCACACTCAAGTCATCGAGAGAATTGGACCTCTGGAATACATTCTCAACACCCCGTCTCACCACAGAGTCCATCACGGTGAGTTTCGCCAATACTCAGGAGGTCCTCATTCGATACAGATGAGACTCAATTCGACGAATCCGAAAATGTCGCAAGGGAGACCCACACAGTCCTAGCTAGAGTCGCGCGTTCACGGTCGAACGCACTTCCGTAAGTACATAGAACGTACATACATACATATGTTTGCGAGTGGATCAAGGTATGCTGCGATCCATTAGTGCGACGACGATAACTCGATGGAAGCCCTTGAGGTCAGAGTCGGCTCGCGATCAACATCGTGTGCTCGTTGACAATTTTATTAATTCGCTTCGGACGAATCCCATCAGTGCGACGTACCTCCCACACGGAGACGGACTAGGAGGTTCCGAGAGAGGCGGGGTCGCAAGTCGCAACGCCGAGAGGCTAATTGAAGAATTGCTTATTAGGATAGCATGGGTTTGACGTGATCCTCTAGGCGACGGATGCTTCGACCAAGACGTGGTTCTCTGCCCCGGGCACCTTGAGCACTTAGCGACGCCGAAACGAAATTATCCTACGGACGCAAGCACGCCCTGTCTGTGATTACGGAGAATTTCGCGGTATCTCATGGAATCGCTCAACACGCCCTTCTACGGGCGACGGGAATTTTCCGTAAACAACGTCATAGATTCACCGAGAATCGAGGAGTAGGGAGATCAGGGGTTGACACATACGTAGAAGCTGAGTCCCCGATGGAAATTCCCGCCATCGATCCCAACCCCAACGCATGACTTTCCATTTTGCCCTCAGGTCTCAATCGATATTGCCTCGATAAGAATTACGCAGGCGTTCTGATCATCTGGGACAGGATGTTCGGAACCTTCATTGCCGAAGGAGAAGAGGTCGTCTACGGAGTTACTAAGCCAGTCAAGACCTTCGATCCTTTCCAAACTCAGGTGGGTCTGTCCTGATCCGTGACGTGTTTGGATATCGAGGGCCGGTTATCCAGGGGAGGGAATGATGGGGAATAGATCCCACGCGTAGCATGATTCGATGGAACCGTTGTGGATAGCCACCGAGAGGTCAGGAGTGAGCTCGAGGATCGTTCTTGTGTCGGCTATCGACGAAAGGGCTGGGTGCCCTTCTGGCCTCCGAAAGCATTGTTTTCGCCCAACGCGACGTACCGCGACGTACTTTTTGAAAGGCGCCGCTCTTATAGCTCGTACGCTGTAAATTGACCTTCAAACCATGAATAACATCGAGAACACCTTGATGAGGCACGATCGCGTCCCATCTCGTAAAATTCAGTGAACGAAATAGGAGCGCGAGGCCGCATGCGCGGAGGAGAAGGAGGGATACAGAGACGTTCCGAAAGCTGGATCTGGGAACGGCAAATCGGAAGCTCATGCTAACAAGCTGGAATAAATACTCCCACGAATCATACGGACCTCAAGTCAGTGAGCGCGTCCGGTACAGTGTCGATTTCCGATGCCAGGGGAGTCGCACGGAGTATCGATGTGATGCGCTCGTGACACCATTTCGCGGAGGCAGCGAATCGAGGGAACGGAACCAGTCCCAGACAGTCTGAGCGGTTCGGCTGCCTCGCTCACACCTTCGTCTTCTTCGGAAGTAAACGGATCGAACAGACGAGCAAACAGAGGGAAGGACGGCGAAAATTTGCATTCTCTTCGCGAGGAATGCACGTCCGTCTCAAGGATCCCGAGGCGGCTGCGGAAATCCTTCGGATGCGATTTTTCCCCTGAAAGCTGTACGGGAGTTATTTCAGCCGCGCTCCTGCCAAATGACGATTTCGATAATGACTTCCAAGATTGGAATTATCTGAATCCCCGAACGAGACGGAGCCCTCGCAATAGAACGCTCAAAGCATCGCAATCGAGACGCGCTTCATTTTATCTCTTCGATTGCAGTTCGATTACCTGAAGTACATCATCAAACGATTCCGCCGACAGAAGACGTGGGCGAGCAGGTTCGGCGTTCTCTTCAAAGGACCTGGATGGAGTCCAGGAAAGCCACGTCTCGGGAATGTGGAGGATCTTGAGGACGTTAGTGTTCTATTTAGCGCCGTAAACACTCCAGAACAGATGCTCGTAGCGGCGTTGCGGAATAAGCTGTTTATAAGCTGCTCGATTCAAAAATACCTGCGCAGGTGCACGCTCCAACCACCGTGTGGAATCCCGAAGTTGCGTCCTGGATAGCTTTCTACGGAGCCTTCCACTTCCTCGTCCTCGCTGCGGACTACGTAGCGATCGCCAATGCGAAAGTCGTGAGTGCCTCTATTTGTGTGCAGCACCAACCCCAATCGTTCTTGGCTCAATTATTATTGGATTTCTGCGATTAGTCCATCATCGGCTCGATTCCAGGTGAACGGGAGTTTCTACGACCTGGCCTTACAGGCGCTCTACGTGTTCTTCTCGCTGACCGTGATTGGGGCTCTTTTCGAAGGTCGAGAAAGAGCCAAATCACTGGAAGTCGTCCGGGTCGTGTTTTACCTCGCTGCGACGCAGATTCTGCCAGTATTCTCCTTCGAATCCCGTTTCGGTCGGAGTCGCGGCGCCTTCGAGTAGGTTTCGACCCGCGCTCTGAGATACGGTGCGGTATGGGTTCTATCGAAGCTCGCCTTCCCCATCGATAAAGCGCGGCTTCTGCTCCGATTGCAGGTTATCTATGCTCACGATCCACGCCCTCTCTCTGCTATTCATCGTTATCCAGATCCTCAAGGGCCGTCCACTGAAAAAATCAAACACATTATCAGTGAAGCAGGCCAACTACCCTGGCGCGAATGGGAGAATCAACACGTGTATTCCCCGAGAAACCGTTGATGAGGAAGACCCTACCGAAAAAGCCACGAAGACCGAATGAGGACTCGACGAGTCGATTTCTCACACAACCTCAAAGATTGACGCAATAAAAATCTCCTAATCCTCGTCGTAGATCGTACAGAGAGTAGGTTGGTTCTCGTCCTCCATGAATGAATTGTCGCTCTCCATTTGGCAACGAATTCGGAGCGAAATCATGAAAGGGGCAAATGAGTAGACCCCTCAATCACTAGTTGTTCACCGGGAACTCGCCCGTACAGCGAGAGAAGCGCGAATTATCTCACGGGCATGAAATATGTAAACAGAGTCTTCTCCACTGTCATTGAGTTCCGGAACTTCAGCATTGCGCGAGGTCACCCTTTTATAAGTTATCTGCCGGCCTCGGGAGAACTATCAAAAGAAAGCGATTTGATGAATGAATAAAAATACTCGTAAGACTATGCCCCCATCGACATTCCGTTCGCTCCGAATGACCAAGCAATCCTCTGTAAGCTCAACTCTCGAAGAGTGTATCAAATAGTGAGCAAAGGCCCCTGGATTGTCAGGAGTGAGTGAATCCGGGGGGGGGGGAGCGAATTATCCTTCCTCGCTCGACGCACCGCGTCCTCGTCGTTGTTGTCGCCACCGCCGCCAGGAAATCAATCATGGTCTTTGTGAGAGCTTCGGCGTCTATTGAAAAGGGTCGTCACTTCTACTCTCACAATAGATCTACGTCCCCCTCCCCCCCGACTAGCCGATGTTTGCGCCTCGCGCCCAGCGATAATCAGAGCCGACCAGTCAGCTAGACGAAGTTTAGCATCCTGCTGCGGCTGCCTCTAATTATTTAAGTGAATCACTTAGATCGAATCAGCTTCTGCGCCTTCATTCAGTGACCCGCTGTTTAGTCGACTGATTGATCGATCGATCGATCTTTCCATCGCTCCCCCTTCCACAGTGACGCTCAGCAGGCCTCCGCGTCTGACCTCAGATTTCCTAGGAATCTGTGCACGGACGCAAAGGCCGCAATGGAGCTTCGGATGGGGAGGGGGTGATGGTCGCCGCATGAGTGCAGAATGGGTGTCACGATTCTGTCAAGGATGTCACAACAGATAATTCGGCCTCCGATCGATCTACTGTCACCGGAACTTTCACGCCTCTATCGGACCGGGGCCCGACAGGAGCGAGAGAGGCATATCGAGTCGCGTCGAGAATCCTTTGCCTCGTCATTCGTTCCCTAGTGAATACCTACCGAGACGTGTTCTCGATGAGTGGAGAATAGACCTCAGTACGAACGGCACGGGCCGTTTTTGTTTCTCGACGGTGAAGTACTTCTCTATTCGGCGCGAACTCGCGATGCAGACAATGGCAACCGAGGAAGAGACCACTAAATGATGGTCAAGCTTATTCCAAGCGACCAGATGTTTCTGACCGACGCCGGAGGCAAAAACTCGCTGCGATCAAGTCCTCCGGACTAAGCGAGAGCTCTGGCCGACTGCTACGCCCGCCTCTCCACTGATCATCCCCTTCTCCTCTCAGGGTATGCGTCAGTATGAGAAGCTAGGGCTGGCGCCGGCATTGGGGGCCCCGCTTTTCCTCGAGAATCGCAGCTCCAGACGATCGAGAGTGAATTGAAATTCGAACTTTTCAGAAATTATTCCATTTCTCCCTTATGGAATCCGAACAGTGGAGGACTCCAAGTCCAGGCGTAAGATCTCGAGGAGAGGGAGAAATTCTCAGCTTGCCTTGAACTCGCCAAGGATGGAGGAACACAAGAGAATTCCTCTGTCGTTGAGGAGAAACGTGAACTCTGTGCTATCGAGGCCCCTCTCCCTACATTTCCCGTCCTACATCGACTCTCGGGCATTCGAGGAATTCAGTTTTTTCCGTTTGTCTTCGAAATCCAAACACAAGAAGTCGGCCTTGTGCTGGAAGGCCCCCGTCCGCCTGGACTCCCAGCGCCCCGTATATATACGTTTTATTACTACATAATAATAATTTCCACTCAGGTGCTCGGAATGGTGTACGCAAGAAATAGTGTCATCGCTCCTCTGTGCAACGATGTTTGGTGAAGCAATTTCCTCCGGACGGGAATTCTCTGCCGAAGAAGGTACAAACGCAGTGCTGAGTGACGCCAGCCCGAGCCCTGAGAACTCTCCAGTAAAACAGCGTTCGAAGCGAATTGCTTTCTACGCCTGAGTTGTCTATATTCGTTCGCAGAATCCTCTTCTTCATCTTTCGCACGAGAGGTTTTTCGGACGCAAAAGCCCTCGCACAATTTCAGCATCTCCGCTCCGAATGTTCCTGCTCCGTAGGCACGGCTCTGTTCCTGTCAGAGCTGTTTTCATTTCCTACCGGAGCTGTTTTTCCCTCTCGTAGCCAGGAGCCAGCCGAGGGCGGTAACCATTGACCTCGATTGTTCAATTAAGCCGGCTGAAAAGACTCCGAGTTTTCAAGCCGTATTTGAGATTTGAGCGACAAAAAAAACTGCAATACCTAGAGGAGACGACAATGGAACTCGAATCCATTGTTTCCATAACTCCCCTCCAACGCAGGAACCCAAAGATTCCGCTCTTTCTTGGGCTGCAGATTCCGAATAGTCCCACGAACGGTGTCGGACTTGAGGTGATTCAACCGCGGCCCTCCAATTTTTTTTCTGCGACAGGGCAGCGGAAGGTTCGCTCCTTTCGGCGAAGGACTTCCCTTGACAAATCGAAGCCACCTGAAACCGACCCCGAAGCGAACCAAGACGACACATTTGGACGCTGGTCTGCGCGTCCCACCTTCGGGGAGCTCCGCTCCGAATGAGCGGCTTGCCAACCGTGGACGGCGGCAGATCCATTGATTTCAGAGTTATTTCCACCGATCGAAGTCACGCATATTTTCATGGAGTCTCAACTCGATCGAACGAATTTTCGTCCGAAAGACTCGGCGCCCCGCTCGACCATCCCAATCGTCCCCGTCGCTTCTCCGCTTCATCTTTCACTTCCGCTCTGCTACCGGAGTGTCCTGTTCCCGCTGTGACGACCAGTGAGCGAATCCATAGTTCCGGATACCGTGGAAGACCTTCACCACGAATCTCACAAAAATGCCGTGTCCTCACTTCCATAAATCTTCGAAGTTTGCCGGAGTACAGACTTCTATCTCCAACTGAAAGACACAACATTACATCCGAAACAAGTTCCCCTGCCTCTCGGCGCGTTCGAACCTATATCGTTAGGGTGAGCCTTCATATTTCTCCAGCCCGCCAAGTTGGGCAGCCGGGCTGGAGTCCGGAATTCCAGTGATGATAAGGAACGCAGGAGAGTATGAAAATTAGAACTCAGTCGAGAAAGGGATCCGAGGAGAAATGAAAAAGACGCCGTGGGTAGGAAGGGAGAGGCGATATAGGAGAGGATGGGGAGAGAGAGAGATCTGGATTTTATTGGCATGATGAAGGGATTGTCTGCTCCGCAGCCGTTGTGCCAACGATTCGGTTATGCTTATTTTCCAATCGATGGTTGAGGGATCTGCCGGAGGACTTTGTCCCTTTGAGGCCCTCTTTCGAAACATTCGTTCCTATTGGGTTTCGACCTCTTTGTTCCTGTCTCTGGTCTTGATAGAACTATCCGATTCGCTCCATTACAATGGGTTGAGCCTCTGGTCGGCTGTTATCTATTGTTTCCTCTAGCTGCAGCTTGGCTCGCAGATTGTCGCGAGGCTTGCTGGGGAACCGTTTTCGCTCCTCTTCGCAGGCGAAGATGAGACCTAGCTCGGGGAGAAGATCCCATCCGGGAGATTCCTTCTCCAGTGGACGTCCCGACAATTTACGCAGCTGTCGCTTGCCACATATGTATGTTCAGACGTTCAGACTTACGGAAATTGTGCATGATATGTAGTAGGTACGAGTACATGTTTGATAGAGCCCATGTGATGCAATAATAATTCGTCAGCGTCTCCGCCGACCTATGATTTCCGATAGGGAGTCGGTTCCCTGCTTCGGAATACCCCGATTCCGCTTCACAACAGTGGAAGGGACTGCACCTACTGAAGAATGCAAGATTTTTCTGTAGGGACCGACGCAAAGCGTACTCCGTCACGGCGAGTAAAATGGAGCTCGGTCACGCTCATCTAATTTATCCCGAACGAAGATTAGACGCAGTTTCCCGTGTTCGAATCGCTTTGTTGATTGAATTGAATCGGAAGCGTTTGCGATCGCGCAAGCTCTTGTTCGCTCGCAAGCTGCGCTCGACTGGAACGAATTCACAGCTATTCACCATTCGGCGCGCCTCCGCGAAAAAGAGAGGGGATGCTCATCGGATCGCTGAGCATGGCACTGGAAGCCTTCTTGGTAGGTCGCCACCCACACAATCGGACATCGTTTCCGAGTATTATATCGAATAGGCGAACACTTGCGTCCCCTCACCTCTCATTCCGGCCTCTCTACAGTCCATGACGATGGAGAGCTGAACGAACCACGTTCAAAGCCGCTTGAGTCTCTTCAAGGCTCGGAATTTCCGGAACCATTCAAGCTTCGAGGCAAGTGTTCAGACTGCGACGTCTGCCGACCCTTCACATGCTGTTTCCGAGAGAGGAGCCGGAAACCACCAAACTTCAAGGACTGCTCCACGAAGCGCCCGTTCCTTCGGATCGCAATCTCGACTCCTGCTCAAACTTGAAATACTCTGCAGGATTTTTTTCTATGATTCAATGCAATTGGAGCAGCCGTTGGGAGCAATCTTCCAGAGGAAAAAATATTGTGACGCCGACATTGTTAGTTCTGAGGCACTCTTTCTCTCGCGAGCTCCGAGGTGCAAGGAGAGATTTCTAGAGGGAAAACTTCACGTCACCTCAGGTTCTCATTCGCATTGACCAGAAGGAAGGAAGAGGCTGAAGGCCGCGAGGTAGGACAGATCTGGGTCCTCTGGTGTGTCCGACGAGCTGAGGCATATCAACATCTGGTGTTCTCATCAATCCTCAATATTCCATCTAATCTTTGAACCCTGGGCTTATTCATTAAGATTCCTCGCTCTTCGCCTTCTCGGTTAATCACTTTTTTTCCATCGTGATGGCGGGAATGCGTCGTATAAATAAGAGGGGAATGGTTCGTCCGCTTTCCGCGGCCGCTCGATGATAGTGTGCTTAATAAATTAAGTGACGCTCAGCAAGCCATCGTGACAGATGACCGGTAGGACATTCTAAATAAAGTTGCTACCAATGAACCCCACGCATCGCAACGCATCTGACCCGATACGAGATTTCCCGCTTGCTATTCTCATATTCGAGCGCAATTTCCCGAGGAAGGCGTCCAGAGGTATCGAGGAGAGCGGAGTCCTCTCAAAGAGAAGTCCCCATTACACGGCGAAGGTCCGTGAAGAATCAGCTCGACGTTATCTTCAGCTGAATTGTGCTCCACTTATTATAGAGCGAATGAAGGACCACCGTAGCATCCCTGTCGATATCTCGCAATTAGTCGGGAGAATACATATATCGAGACAGATTTCCACGATATTGTTGAGCGACACAATAAACGAGATGAGATCCGCATGTAAGCGAGCGATGATTTTGAATGAAGGCTTGGAGAAATTTCGAAATATACCTCGGACGCTGCGGCTACTCAGCCGCACGTTATGCGTCATGGATAGGGGCACGATAACGGATCTCGTGACGGAGCTCTTGTAACAACGGCCACCTCCAGGATCATATAAATATTCCGTTCACAACGCACTTTGCTGCCGTTACTGCAACGGAAAGACGTTCAGATTCGACGTGTTTTCAACACAGGGATCGGCCCCGACCGCGTTATATACCAGAAGTAAGGTTATATCGGAGTCGGCTTCTTATTGAGCCTATCGTTTTCGGGAAAAGAAACTCCATCTGGCGCCTCCGGCAAGACAGACCTTTTCAACGCATCGGATCTTCAAGCGCCGTATTAATCAGTCGCGCTCACAGAGTTTTCTACTTTGAAATACTCTTAGCACTCGTGGAGAGATTCATTAACTCGATTCATGGTCATGGGAAAGTTTTTCTCCATCACTTTTGTGTCCATGCTCTTCTCGACATCGAATGTATCACGGCTCCCGGAGGAGCCGATCGGGCAAAAAAAACCAGCGCTTGCCGATCCACACAAGGTCATCCAATGGACGGAGACCTCTGCAAGTGACAGCGATTCGGACTCTTTGCAGTAATTTCTCCCCTCCGGATGGATGGCTCTTTTTCTTCCCGGTTCTTCTCTTGACGTTCCCTCTTCAAGGCAAAGGGTGTCGAAACCAGATCTGAGGTCTCAGGGTGACGGCTGACGGCTCTGTGTTCTGGCACGAAAGTCTCTTGGAACGAACGGATATTACAGATAGGAGTTTGTTGCTCGCGAAGTTTACTTTCCTCGGCTTGGTCGTCCTCCCCTACAGCCTCTAGTATGAGCGACCAATGAGACAAGGTGGGCCGATTCGGGCTTGTGGCAAGTCCGCAGCCTTGGTCGCTAAAATCCGAGTCAACCTCCCAGCTACGTGAGGGGAGACATTTATTCATTATTATTGGTATGAGTTGTTCTTGGATTCGAAGAAACCCAGACGAGAATGATGCCCTATTCCCAACGTCCTTTATTTTGTTCTTCGTCTCTCCCCAAGTTTTGTTCCTCGAAATCCCTCGTCCGTCCCTCCTTTCCCCGCCTATGTCCCGCAGGCGCACAGAGTTCGCCTGACTACATTCTAAGAATAATCTTCCACTCGGCGAGAGATTCGTTCCAGCTGAAAGGAGCTTGATCAGGCCCGGAAATACACCGCGAGAGGAGTTCAGCAGAAAAAGAAGAACAAAGAAAAAACCGAGTGCGAAGTGAGTGAGTGAGACCTAGAGGAGTGCGCCACTGACAGCGACTTTCTTGTTAGAGGTTTACAAGTAATCTGCGGTGGGTCTTCCCGGGAGTTTTTAGTCTTAGCCTCATTTCGTCGTTGGGACGGGGAGGGCTGTTGCGAGTTTTTAGGAGGCCGGGTTTTTATCCCGAACAGTCGAACAAAAATTAATTAACGTAATAGGTTATCCGATACTCTACAGATAATCGACTTCGATTCCGAGGCGTCGGAAATTACGACGAGTGACGACGAATCTCACAGGGTCCAGGAGGGCTTATCCGTCGCTTGCCAGGGGGTATCTTAGTGTCTCCGAACAGACAAGCAAGATTGCAGCGCACTGGAGACACCGAGTTGAAATTGCCACACCTAAGACCCGGTCGTTCCGTTCTTCTTGTACCCGCGGAGGTGTCTCGCGGAAGTGTCTCTCTGTTTCCTCTCCGGTTCTGGATGTCGTTTTCGGGGAGGGGGGGAGGCTGCTGCCCTCCGAAAACTGCTTCTCGGGGCGCAGGGGTTGCGAGAGTGTTCCGACTCGCAGAGCGTTCCAAACTCAATTCTTGTATTCGCGGAAAACTTTCCTTTCTCGGAAGACCTTCGGAGCATCAATCTTCGGGGAGCTCTCCGCTCGTTCCGATGCGGATCAAGGATGGGAGGAGGAAGTAATGCAGGTGGAAAAATTCGATCGGCCGCTCCATTTCTGATTCTCGATTCTCTCGCTTTCATCATCATATGAAAAAGATGCGGCCGGTATAGGAACAGGTGGACTGGCGTAACGTTAGCGCTTCATATTGCCCTCGAGGCGACTGGGGTTCGAGTGCTACCGAGTAGGATTCTCTTGATGTTTAGCGGTGCTGAACGAAAAAAAGTCCGCGCCCCTACAACTAATCCGAGTGCGGCAGAGTCCGCCAGCAAATGCAGACCACGCGCGAACCACTCGAGGGTCTGCTCACGCAGCTTCGAGGGTCGCTTGGCGAAGAATCAGTGGAAACGGAAAAGGAAATTGGGAATCATGTCGTTCGTCAGGAAGAGCGGATTCGATCGAGACAGCGGACCAAGTTCAGATGTGCTCCCGAAGCTGCCTGGAAATCGAGGGTTCCAGAGGATGCCCGTGCAAACTCCATGAATCCCAGTAGAAACATCCGCATTGCTCGTCCCAAATCGCCTTTTTCAAATCCACCACCAAAAACTCATCGGTCAATCATTTCCTCGGTATCCTCCCGGGCTGGTGGGACCGAAAATGGAGACGCGAAGAACATCGATCTGGAGTACGGACCGACTCCTCGCAGACGTTGAGAACGAGGCGCCGGATAACGACCGTCAGAGCTCCGTGCTTCGTCGCGGAAAGGAATAGACCCGACGTGCTCATCTCGATTAATGATCCAATGTCTACCACTATTGAATGAGAAGATTGGAATTTCCGCTTGCGCATTTCGACTGTTCATTCTTCGACCGCCAGGAGGGTCGAGAACAGAGTCTTGGAGTCGAGAGGGCCGCAAGGTCGTAGGTAATTGAGGAGCGAGAGCCATTATTCACCGCAATAGAGCCGCTGCCTTGGGGATGTGGTCGCGCTGCTGCGAGTGTGTTAGAGGAGCCGTTCGGACCTGAAAGGCACAATGCCATTTCATTATTCGTCTAATCCTATAGCCGAGTGCGTCGACTCGGCGATGCCCTCTTTTGCATATTAAGGAATTTGCTCCTTCCCAATTCGATCCCAGCCCCTTCCGTGTCCCACCGTCTTTCGCGCGCGATCCGCTTAATTTCGTTTCCAGGAGAGAATTCTCAGATATGGCCCCTACGCTCTCCCGATGCTGGGAACATTTCCTTGGACCGGAGCCGATGTCCCCCTTGTGGGGTTCAGATGGGGAGCCGGTCTATGATGTTCAAGCGGGGAAGGGGGATTCCCACATCAGAAGAGTCGCCCTCTGGAAAGGATAATGAGTCCGACTCCTGGGAAAGGCATCGCCTAGAGTCTTCAACCGAGAGCGTGCCAAGGTACTTCGTATGCATGAGGACTGGGCGACTGGGTGGAATTTTTCTGCATCGCCGCGATTTTGAGCCTAGTCTCAACATATTCCGGAGCGACCGAAGAAGCCCTCAATAGCCGTCCATTGCTCTCACCGGAGATGCTCACTCTACGTCTCTACGTATTGGCGAGAGCTCGCGGTGCGGTGGCTGCAGAAATTCTCTGGGAGATAACGGTCCGCTGAGGGTCATTAGACGATGGACCGCCCTCGGGGCTCTCGGACGGAAATGCGTCCATTCGCACAGGGCGACTCTCGTCTGTTTACCACTACCTTCACTCAGAGAAGGTAGTGGAAGATGGAGCACATCTAGACCACTCAGTTTAGAATATTACGGTGAACCATGTGAGCTGTTTACATTAAGACGACACCGAGCACTTCTTCGCGAGACGTCTACCTCATGACGGGGATCAACGGCTGCATGACTGGATCGACATGACTGGTGAGCCCTTCCTTGACAGCCCTTCTGATTTTCCGGAGTTCTCAGTGGCGCCTGAACTCGTCGCTGGGCAACAATGATCTTATATGTATGTAGTTGATTGTCTATGATTCCGTCTACGTTCCAAGACTTATCCTGGACTTTCAATCGAAGAGAGAGAGAGAGCATACCGAGAGTTCGACGTCAAGCTCCAAGTCAATACGATCACCTGTGATGTCGAGCTCTGCCGCGTCCGAGACTATACCTCGGTCATCCTGTTGGCCCCGGCCTCTTCAACCGGGAATTTACATGCAGCTGGACAGGACCAATTCTATCTATAGACGTGAAACCATGAGGAGACAGGAGAGAGTTTTCCCTGCTGCGTCGACCTGCTCCATTCCCCAGGTGCTCGGCTGTAGAATACAGTATCACGTGCTCGAAGATCTCGCTCCTTCATCGGGAAATATTCTTTCATGGTGGATAGACAAATATTCACAGTTGATCCGTCTCGATATCGCGCTGAGTTTTGGGTTGAGTGTGCAAGTGTATCCCTACGGGAGACTCTGGGGCCTTCTGATTCGGGTCGGAACTTAGAACTCATGGCGGCGAGCTTCAAGCTGGCGCTCTTCCGCCGCAGAAGTATTTCGAAGTCTTGAACATCGAGCTCAGCAGAGTACCGAGCGGTTTTTCGAGCCACCTTCCGTGGGCTTTCGCAACCCTCCGATTCCCTGAATAGTTCCGAACAATGTTTTGCCATTCAGATCAATGGGCGATTCTCGAATGAGTAGAGCGGGGCTTGTCACCTCGGAAAATCATGATGAACGCGGTCATACCGATGAGGATTTTTGAAGTGCCCACATGTTCGTTCGATTCTGAATCAGTTTTTGATTTGGATGTACCCCGCTGTGACGGATTGCAGGCGTCACGAGCAGGTGCTTCTAGTGACGGACCGCCCCGAGCACGAGCTCGGTGGAGAATGGACACGATCTATTCCAGCTGCACAAGCCAGAGAATTCCTCAAATTGTAGAGTTATTCTACATGGCGATGAACTACTTTTCGAGGCCGCAAGCAAGGCAGTGGGGCGTCGCATCGGGGGATTTATACCTCGGGTGTATTGGGTACACAGGTACAAACATTCTCGAAGAAGAACAATGGACAGTTCGAATGGACTGAACATCCAATGAGTCCTGGAATAGCCCTAGAATAATAAATAGAGCTGAATTGAATAAACCCTGGAATCCCCGTACTGGAATACGTGGCCTAGGCACGATACTGAGCTAAGCGTGATCGAGAGTTTCGAGACTGAGCAACTGCTTCTGTGGCCCGAGTATCACGGATTCCTCCCCATATGAACGATACACTCTTCAGTGACTATGAGAATGAAGAAAATCATTATTATTCGATCCAAACGAGCGGAAAATATCGTTTGTGGGGAGCATCGCTCCGACGCTATTCGTCTTCGGGAGCTCGCGCAATAACAAGACGTTCGGTCTCAGGGGAGCGATCTACTTCTGTCTTGTACCAATTTAGCTCCGCAGTGACATTCAAAATGTATGGCGGAGCATCTCAGACGCAGTATCCCCAGACTCCTGAGCGAGTTCGACGCAAGAACCCGAAAGAGGGTACATTCGCTGTTAGGTGACACCGCAATGAGAATGACAACGCATTGTTCGGTCTCTCTGCGCGGTTTCTTAATCATCTCCTGGGATTCGGTCTCCGAAGTCGGGGCAAGGCCCTCGAATCTTTGTGATAGACGCACGGAGAAAACAACCTGTGCTCGACGGTTGGTCGGTCGAATTTCCGAACAACCGCTTCGCTCGGACTTTGCCTTGTTCATACATGTACGCGGTGCTCCAACACGTCTGAGGAAAGAGTCTAACAACCCTCTGTTTTGGTTCCAGTGGCCAGACTTTGTCGGGGTCGCAACCTGGCCGTTGTCCTCGGTGCCAATCTGTTATTTTTCGGCCTGCTGCTGGCCTTCCAGGGTGTGAGAGTGGACGTCGATGGGAGCCAAGCTAACGCTTTTCAACCTCAAGACAGTCAGTCAGCCATCTATAAACTTCCAAAAACATCCGCTTCATTAATGAGAGCCAAGTGAGTTCCTTCGATGTTTTTCGATTTCGGAGAATTTCGCCATCGGGATGAATCGGGAGCGAATTATGGCTTTCCTGTACACCTGTAGGAGCCGACTTGCTCATGAAGAATTTATCCGTATCGCCTCAAAGAACCTGTCTCGCTCTGTGAGGGGGTCTCTGACAAGAAGTCGACATCGATCGAACTCTGAAATGTCGGTGCACGTTCAGGGTTTAAATATTCGTATGACAGGTCAGGCTTACATAAACGAAGACGCAATCCGGATTTCTCATGCCTCCATGGGCCCCATCAACCTCTCCTCCCCTTCTCCTTCATCGACCATTGATCTTTGACTGATTGCTCGGCTCGTGTTCGCGATGCCGCGCAAGGTCTCATCGGTCGGATGGGCTGCTGATAATTGAGCTGCCCGATCCCCCATGTGAAAGAGGAGATGTATTTGCTCCTGAATTTGTCAGATTTGGTTGCATTCCGGACTCAGAGACAGCAGGTTCAGCACATCGCCTCCATGTCTTATATGAGAATGCGACGAGAAAAATCTCCTCGACTGCTCCTTTCGTCGAATCAGAGGTCCACGGACCGCGGAATCGAATCCTTGTCGGATTCCATGTTTACAAGATCTTTAACCCTGATCGGGAAGGAGTGGAGCTCGAGATTCCCATTCCTCAAGAGGCTGGACGCGGGAGGGCGAGGGAACGGAGTCGAGTAGAGGGAAATCGCTTCCTCCAGAAAGGAACGACTTAATCCCGCGCCGAGCACGGGTAGAAGCTCGTTCCCTAGTGGTTGTTGATCAAGCTGGGTGATTCGTGCTTCTTATGTTCGTCTCGGTTCTAGTTGATTCTCCGCTTTCGAGTTAACAACTCTCTTTGCTCGAAGGACGCGCTCAAATGACTCTTGAGCTTTCTTCAGAGACGCTCCTTTACGTCAGCGTTTTGTTTAAGGAGAGTAATACTTGGCTCCCTGACGAGTCGTTCCTCTCTCGGCACACAGCAGACGAAAAAGAAACAGTCGGGTAGATGTTAGTCTTCGTGCTTGTTTCCTTTGTCTTCTTTTTTGTTTTCTCTCGAGTATGACACCTCGTTCTCTCAAACGACTCTTATCGTGCTCATGCAGAGCCGCGTCTTTGAGTCAGAGCTCGGCCGACTTTCTCAAGGCTGATTCTCCCGCTGCGTTCGTTTCACCCGTGTGCACACGTAAAACATACGAGCTCTGAATACACAAGAGTCAATTGCTGCCCCGCTCGAGGAATCTCCCCGTATTCACCCATGACCTCCACGGATCACCACGTTTTCTCGTCTGCATTCTCACGCAGTCGATCACCGGGAATCGTGCGAACCCGTACGGAAGCGAGAATTCTCCGCCGCTGAATCCGCGAGGGGAAACGCTCGTAGACGACGGCCGACTCGGAAACAATTCATCGTTTGTTCCTTTTCCAGATATTACAAGTTGTCGGAGGAGAAGTTCTGCAATTTCATGAACAGCGAGCCGTCGCGTTCGTTGATGTACAAGAAATGCGTCTGCTCGAGCGGATTCTACGGCGCCGACTGCGGAATTCCTCGTTTCATCTGGTCACAGCTGCTCCTCAACGGCACGAAGGAGATGACGCTGAAGAGACTGCACGAGCCGAGGAGGATCATTGAGTTCAAGTTCTCGAGTGTCACCGAGCCGAGTTCGGTCGTTCGAAATGTAACAGTTTGTAACAACGCTACAATGGTGAACGCCTCCCTGGAGGCCTTCCGCCGAGAAGTCCCCGACCTGCAGGTGTACACAGGTCCCGTCCAAGCGAACTTCTCGTGTGCCAACCCCAAAATTGCAGCTTTCTCCTGTCCGAGCCTCCTGTGCTGCTGGAACCGGTTCTGGATGCTCGCGTCGGAGCTCTCGTTCACCGACCTGGTCGTCGTCGACATAGGGGGCGAGTCGACTGCCGTAGGGTCGACGTTGCCGGGCGATCTGCTAGAGTTCTTCAAATTCTACCAAGGATTCCCCGAGGTCCTCATGATCAGGCGTGGGCCGTCGGTGTCGGTCGTGGCCAGCTTCAACTCGATAGCCGTCGAATGTAACTTCGACATTAAGTGCATAGCGTCCTGTGAGAGTTCCAAGTTCCAAGTGATCAGTCTAGATCTCTGAGCGGAGAACCACTCTGAACGGACCGTCTCCGTAGAATAGTCGGACACGACCGAGGTGTTGCGCTGAAGCCCAAAGAAGGAAGAAATTCCGATTCGCTGGAAATTCGGAGTGTGCGCTGTACATCATCTATTCCCTTGATCATCAGCTCTCTTTCCCATCGACTCTCGGCTTGAGTTTCGCATTTTGGGCCGGCCCACTGTTAGACTGAAGCGTTCTTGTGATATATTATTATCTTCCATTTATCATCGCAGGGGAGGAGGCAGCATTGTTGAAATATGTACATGTGAAAGTCATGATTCTTTTTCCATGGCCTTTCCTTGCCATCATCTCCGCGTAGTTCCGTTCTTCCATCGAGAATATGCTCGATCTCCCCACCCTGCGTGAACAGCTTTCGTCCTTTGAGAGGCGACAGTATCCGACTCTACCGGACAATCATTGTGCCGGGACAGCGTTCTTCGTCCAGATCACTTAGTTCCCCCAAACCCGAAACTCCATTCTGTTCCAATCTTTGTTGAAAAGAATTCGAAGGAAATCGACCCCGGAGGATCATCAATTTCATTTTTGGGCATGGATTCTTATCATGTAGTCCGATGTAGAAATCGACCGGAAGGAATTTCGCGCGGTCACTCGCGTTTCGATCTGCTGGTCGATCGGCCTCTTTACATTTCAGGTTGTACACTTCGGAGGATAAGCTTAAGATTGTTGGGAAGTTCATGAAGGTGCTAGCTCGATACTCTGGAGCGACTGCATAAGTTTGTGTAACGTTCGAGGTGACTACGAACGACGGTTGAATACAAAAGAAATATTTTTCCCAGAATTCCCTCTCCTGTGTTTAATGTCTCAGGCAGAAACATAGGCAGCTCACCCACTGACAGAAGGATTCGAGAAATAAGATGGACATTAAGGTGCGTGACGTCGGGAAGCGAGGGGCGAAGATTCATTTCCATCCACGCTCTAGACGAAATAAACACAGAGAGAGGACCGGAGAGCGACGTTGGACCCTTCGATGCCGGTTGCTTCCCTTGATTTGGAAGTGAAGAACGGTCGGCAAGAGCTTGTCTCGAGGTGACATGTTCTTATATTCCGAAAACGCAATTCGTCGCGATTTTTCTTTTTTCGTCGAATGCGTTCACGTTCTCAATCTCGGCGGTGCCGGTCGTCGGAGTAGAAGCAGATGTTGCGAATGTATTCTCTGCGCTCCGACGCTTTTTCAGACGGAACGGTAGTTCGGTAGCAGGCCTCTGGAACTCCTCGTCGAGAGGAACATTCAACGCGGGCGAAAACTCATGACACGGTGAGCCAGGGCCGGGCCGGAATCGAATCCGATTTTACGAGTCGAATGGAATTGGCTGAATCCGAGTCTGTTGAGGAGTCATGAAGGAATAACGACTCTCGGCGGGATGATCTCCGAGGAAATGCGTGACAAATTGCGTTTTTTCCTCGGCGTACCCGCCCCTCGAGCGCCGTGTCGATCGAGGCGACCAGAGAATCTGCCGACGCCGGAGGGGAAGTTCGTTTCGAGTGAAGAGGAAGCGAGTTCTGCAGATTTTTCCAGGTTGCAAAAGTCCCGCAGCGCTCTCAACGCGAGCTCAAGCCCCTAACCCGATTCACACTTGACGCATCCCAGACCGTCGAGAAACGGATGGCTGTTTTCGGTGCGCCACTAATGAATAGCTCCCATTGCAAACTCCGAGGGTTTCGCTCCACTTTCCGCTTCTCGACTGGCTATCCCTCTCCTACATAACCAATACACCACCAGCCTACGCAACGATTGCCCTAAAAGCCAGAATTACGCTGCTCGGTCAGTTCCGAGATCCATCAAGCTACCAATGTCCTGCAGCGACCAAGCGATTCGGAGTCAGGCCTGACATTGTGCGGAATGAGCCGAGGCCCGGGGGCGAGGAAAGCCTGCGGCATTTGTCGAGACTGTGAGTGAGGGTACCGGTTGCACAGGCGGCGCAATCTGCTGTCGATGTCGTACATTACTCGTATCAGCCTCGAAGGGACTCGCTGTGGATTAGGTCCCGTCAGCGAGGGGAGAAGGCGACTAGAGGAGGGAGAGACGGTAAAGCGAAAAGCCTTACCCGTCTGCTACCACTTGTGTTTCTTCTTGGAAGGTAAAACACGAGAAATCAGAACGCAACCGACAGGAAGAACTCCGGCTGAAGTCGATCTCCTTCGAGCCTCGGAAGTAAGAATACGTCCGGGCAAGAAACTATGCTAGGACTTCGTCCGATGAGGCAGGCTCCTTGACCTTCTCTCGCGTTGACGGAGCGCAGCCCTGGAATCGTTCTCTTCTCCAAGCTCCTCTGGAACTCCGACCCGTCCCCTGAATATCTTCGAATTCGGAATTCGTGCTCCGTAGAGGTAACCCCCATGCCCCCGTAGGAGCTTCATCTGATTGCGAGGCAGAAATATTTGTCCACGTTCCGCTCGTCTTCTCACGGGAGCTCGCTGAATGGTCATTCGAGGAAGAAACCTCCATTTAGAACGTGGAGCGGAAGAAATTCTCCAGATCGCCGATGGAACAGATGGGGAACATAACAAAAGCACTTCGTGGAGGCTGGGGCCAAGTTTCGTCGCTGTTGGCATCGAGGCTGTATGGGCCGTCTTGCCTGTGTGCGAAGTAGGAGAGAACCGGGTTCATCCACAAATCTTGATTATCTTTCAGCAGTCAGCCGAGCGGACAAGCACCCTCGTATCTGCCAGACAACTAGGAGCGCAAGAGTACGTTGGGGCTCTAGAAAAAGTGTACGAGAGCAGTAAACGAAAGGATGTTTCCGTTGAAGTCGCTGTTCCTCTCGGGAAGACGGGAAGTCGTCTCCGGGAAAACAGGTCCCGTTGGCGTAGGAAAAATTCGTGGAGCCGTTTTCGACACGGCAAGGCCTCAGAAATCGTGGACGGCTAATCGTTATTCGGTCGAAATTTCCGGATCGCGAATCCCACAGGTGATCGAAGCTCGCTCCTTACCTCGGGATGCTTCTATTAGTCATGGTCGAATCGTTTGGTCGATGGGTGCGACGCGGCGCAGAAAATCCCTGAATGGGATTCGCTGAGGACATCCTTTGGTGCGCCGGACAACTGAACGCAGGAGACAGGGATCCACTCGTGAGAGGAGCGACATTGAAGAAGTGTATAATCCGATATCAACCAGTCTCTTCTCAAGGAGCTGCAAGCAGGTCGAGGTTTCCTTCTATCGATACTTCACTTGCAAAATCCGGGACGTCCGCTCCTCGGGCTGGCCACACACGCGAGAGGGTATCCTCTGACACTGTAGAGAAGATCCATCTCTCGTCAACTCCCTATTCCCTACCGCAGCACAGACTGGAGGTTCGAGAAAAACGTTGTATCAGGAACGCATCAGGACGTGCTTTTTCGCGTCAGTTGTGGCATCTGGCCTTCATCGGAAACGCATTCTTGATGCGTCGGCCATCTCCATATTTGTCCCATTGCGCCACGCGAGCATCACCGTTCGCAGGCTCTGCCATTTCCTTAATGCCATAGGACGTCTAGTGCTCGAGCGCTCTACGGAGATCCCCCGAGGCATCGTGCGGCCAGGCTAACCGCCGTGACGTTCCCATCCGAGTGCCCTATGGACTCCCTTCTGGTCCCGCCCAACTGATGGAAAGCTCCCTAGTGGATTCAACGAATGGAAGAACGAAGAGCTCACTGACCAGCCTTGTGTTCCGTGGTCGTTTTATATTACAAACTTTATTGTTAGATGCGAGCCGAGGGCTACCGACCGTGCGGCGCCAGCCGTCGGTCAGACTAACATTCGTCCGCGCGGCCAAGCCGAACACCACGAGAATGTCTCATTGACTTCCGGGATCTTACCTTCGGAGGTTATCGTCATTAGTTTCTGCTTCTCGTTGCGAATGCAAAATCCGGAGAAATCAGAAATCCGACCGAGCTCCCCAGAAGACCCACGCAGGCGAACTCCACGGAGGGTATGGTCGCTGCGGCGGAGGGATACGGCAATCAATATTCCTACTTCCATGTAAATATAAACCCTTCCACAGTTCAATCGGTAGAATTCTCAGTCCCGTATTCCAGTTATTCGAATCGAAGATTTGAATGAGACATCAAATAATATTGAGAGCAATCTGAATGAATCGGTGAATACAGGGGTATTCTCCCAGGGAATTAGGACAGCGGATGTCGTATTCATCTCATGTGTTCCGACCTCGAATTTCGGGCAGGACCATTCAGCGCAGAGGAACCAGCTCCTCTTGAGTGATTAAAGACATTCACGAAGTAGTGCCAGTTTTTGTGGAATAATCAGCGGATGTTGTGTCTCCACAGCGCGCAGCACTCCGACTCGAAGATCTCTTTTCATGATGACAACTTCAGCGCACTATCTCCGTCAGGAATAATGACCGCAGCGAGAGAGATGACTTTCACTATTTCCGATTATTCTTCAGGATCCAGGATCTGCTCGAGATAACGGGCCTCCGTAGGGCGTTCCGAATATTCATGTAAGAGTCAGAGACCTCTCCTGAGGGCAGTGAAAGTCAATCTACGAGGTCGTGTTCTCTTCGCGTCGTAAAGCTGCTTGCTACGCTATGACTCTGTTGTGGTATTAAGGCGGCGGAGCGGAGCCACGTGAAGACAAGAGATGGATGCGTGGCATGAGAGAATTCGCGACCTGGCGTTGTGAGAAATTTCCCCGATCTGGAGCTCGTCTAAGCCATTCCGGCTGAACGGGAAAAGCAGTGGCCTCACATACTCCGAGTGATCGTGTCTTCACATTCGCCGGGTTCAAACGTCGATATGCGATATTTTCGGAACTGGCGGAATGCAGTCTCCTGCTGGGGAAAGTGACGGGCTTTGAGTGAGCTGCTCGATGTCTAGCGCATTCTATTGACGGCTAGACCCTGGACGGGAGAATTATTATCCTTCTACTTCCTGGAAATCATCCACATGATGACAGCTGTTTCGAGAAGCAGTACGTATAATTTATTCATTCTTCTCAGCCACCTCGCCATGGATTATGTACACGATCTGTAAATGGTGGATAACTTGATGATTTGTTCTATTCAATACCTTGTGTTTTTCGTATCAAAAAGAAATCATAGCTGTAATCAGAGCTCAACGATCCATCGGTTGATGCAGGCAGCCCCAAACTCGCTCGCTCGAAAATGTATTCACTGTCGATCCATCGATGCGATTCCGAATATCTTTTCAATTATCTCCCCTCGCAGGATTCGCTGGTCCAGAGCAGGAATATTTTTCATCTCTCGGGCTGTCGGGCGTTAGAAACCGAAGGGCCCGAGACAAACTGCCGATCGATCGATGCTCCTCCATCCACGGCCAAGCAAGCATTGAGGACCCGATGATTTGTTAATTGATGGCGTGTTTTCCGCTCCTCGCGTCAATCAGTCACACTCACTCAGGCTCGCAGCATTCGTTCAAACGCGCTTTCACTCTCGAGGGAATAATGATTAAGTAGTGGTAAAAGATCATTCAGTTCGGGTGAGGGTGTCGTTATGTACACTCCAATACCAAGTTGAAGCAATATTGCGTTCATCTCCTCTTTCCGACCGGGAGGACCGCTCGTGTCGGTCCCGTCGCACCCGTTCCCCGTCTCCTTGACGCTGCATGTGGAATGTTTTTGCTCGTGAAATCGCATCGGTATCTGTCTGACGCGATGATTGCACATCCGGCTCCTCGTGGATTTTCCAATAATTAGAGAATTCGTGTGGCTGCAAGAAGAACGCTTGCGACGATGGCGACCATGCTGACCATGGTCGCACTCGCCCCGCTGGCGCATCGGTAAGAGTCGAACTGTCGGCAATCGTTGTCGGCATCGCGGACCTTCTGCTGCACGATGCTCTCGATGGTGTTGTAACCATATTCGCGGCAGTGATTGTTCAGAGATTGTCGGAGGCAGTTCTTGTACTCGATTGTGGCGCTGAAATTTAAAAACGGTGATGGCGTAAGACTCGATGGAAGCGTGTCCGGGATCATTTCTCGGATTCCGGGCGAATAGATAAAAATATCCCGCGGGAAATTTCCGGAGCATTGAGAAGGCGGGCGATGCAGGCCATCCATTTATGGCGTTGGTGTCGAAGTCGCGTTGAAAACGCTAATGGTAGTCGTCATTGTGAAAGTCGACGCGACGGAACATTTCAAACTGTTAAAGTAGAGAATATCTCTCTCGGTTGTTGAAGTCGTAACCGGCGCTCATCTCTCCCATGGCGCTCGAGGAAGCTGTCGGCACAGAGAGAGAGACGCGGACGACCGTTCAGCTAATCAGTGAAACGGAGTGCAAAAACGTCGCTCGACCGAGGACCGAAGACTACAGAGAGCTGCCTTCAGCACGATTCGTTCAAAGTCGGCGAACAAACACAGAGACGACTACCATGACTTAGTCATTGAAGTAGCGGAAGTGAGAATGAAGGAAGCCAGAACGGGGCAAAGCCGTCCATGACTACACTACGGATGCGCGGCACGGTGGGCCGAGCGAGCCCGCACCGAAACTAACCAGCAACTCTCCTTAATGCGCTCGTCGGCGTGGTAACGTCTTGCGCTGTACTGTCTCCTCTGGTGATTGCTGTCACACTCACGAATGGAGTCCTGTGCCTTGTAGAGACAGTAGGAATCTGTGGGAAGAATAAGACTTTACTCTCGAGGCGGATGCGGCATTTCATAGAGAGCGCAACTCGAAAATATCTAAATGGAACCAGAAGTTGGACAAACAATGTCGACTCGGGGCATACGAGACCTCAAGGACAGCCGTCGCAGTGAAACTCGACAGTGGACTTCCTATCGTTCCGAAATATTCGATGTGCGCGCAGATGTTATAGATATAGATCGGCACGTATTTCGGAATTGATCCTGGGCTCCATTCTCGAAAGCAGGGAGGTAGATCAGGAGAGGGGTCGAGGGAATGGGGATGGGGAGACATGAAGCACAGCACCTACAGCGATTTCATGCTACCGAAGAGGTGATCAGTCGCACTGGCTCTGCTCTCATTCCACACTCTCTTTGATATCTGTCTTCTCGATCTCGCTCGACAAACTCACTTTCATGTGCTCTGTCATTTATACATGCGCGGGATAAACTTCCTCGCTAATGCTTCCAGAATCCTGCTTTCCCTCCCCGGCGTGCCCTGCGACCATTCTCGCTCGCAATAATTCTCAACGGCTCACAGGACCAGACTCTCGTCGTTCTTCCCAATGGTTTCCCAGAGACATGGACAGGAGTAGCACCGCGAAAGAGGAAACAATTATGAGGGAACATCATACTGAAGTCCAGACGTGGCCGAGAAACTCCCGATACATGGCGCGACACGTAGGCCTTCTCCCACACCGGCCGCGGGGCGGGTTGATGATGATTAAAGCACGGAAGTCTCGTCCGAATTCCTCTAAGTAATTGGTTCACTCATTCACGCATCTCACGTACATGTCAAGGCACCGGGGGTTACGTTAGGTGGCTGATGTGAGAGGAGGATGAAAAGACGCAGACAGCGCTCTCTACGAGAGCATCTAATCCCAGATAGTGATGTTATTGTGAGGTAGGAGTGAGTTGTTATGGGTGTTTTGTGGGAGAGTGTGTTCGGCAGAGCAAGGTTCCAGACAGATTAGTTTGCCTCTTCATTGAGAAAGACTCCGTACACTGATTTCCGCGAATCGATTCAGAAACTGCTGGTGAAACACGATTCGACACTCGGAAGGAGAGACGGGGTTCGAGCTCAGTGTACGTTTCTAGAGAGCAGACAATAGGACGCTGGAATCGTCAATCGAGATTCGATTGAGCAAAGTTCCTAGCGCCTGGAAGGAAATCTCTTCGGCCACGGAACTTGAAGAGTTCCTGGGCCTCATCGCCAGAGGCGGTCAGGGTCAAGATCGAGGGGATTCCCCTCTTCTGAGAAAGGTCTGCTAGAAGTCTAAGGTTTTCTTTTCTCACAGTGCCCCGATCAGAAAATGAGCAAAATTTATCTACCGGCTAGAGGAGAACGTTGGGGGCTGTCTGTCGTAGACGTGGTCGTGATCCTGTGCGGGCCCAATGGCGTCCTGTTGTAATCGCTTCCGTCCTGCACTCCTCCACCCGTCCCATATCCACCCCGGACCCCACCGTAACGGTTTGGAGAATACGAATCGTTGCGAGCGTCTGGATATACTGGATTGTATGGATTATTGTTGTTACTGTTGTTGTTGCTGTTAAGATAATTATTATTGTTGTAGCCACCTAGATTCGTCATGTTGTATCGATCCGCGTACGAGGAATTATATCTAGAATCGAATCGGTTGTGCGTAGAGTTGTATCTGTTGTACGGGTCGTTGGTGTCGTTATATCTCGTACCGTAACGGCTATCGTTATTGAACGAGCTGTTCTGCCTCGTACGGTCGTAGAGGGATTCGTTGTACCTGGTATTGTAACGGTCGTTAAGGGAATCGTTGTACCTAGTATTGTATCTATCGTTGTTATATCGGTCGTTGTTGTACCGATTGTTGGTGTAACGGTCGTTGTTGGAGGGATCGTTGTTGTAACGGTCATTGTTGTAACGGTCGTTCCCGTATCGATCGTTATTGTACCGGTCGTTGTTGGTATTCAGGCGGTCCGCATTCGCGTTGTACCTACTATTATCGTAGCGATCGTTGTTACGGTTATAGGGGTCATAGGTATCATTGTATCGACTGAAGCGACCATCTCTATTGTAGGGGTCGTTCGTATCATTGCGGCTGTAGAATTCACCCCTGGTGTTGTAGGTTGAATTAGACCTATTCGAATTCGGGAAGAGATCGGAACTTGTTCGAGTGCTGTTGTATCTGTCGTTTGTATTGTATCTGTCGTTCGTGTTATAACGGTCGTTGGTATCATAAGGGTTATAGGGCCGGGGTGAGGTGGTTGCCAGGTTGTTGGGATAGTTATCTGGTGCTCGGTGGGGAGAGACTTCATCTGTGAACCAGGGGACAGACAGTCCGATTAAAAGACGTCCCCACCTGATTGCAACCGTTAGACGCAAATCGTTCCCGCATACAAACAGTCACGTTCACGTAGAAAAAGCACGCAGGCTCGCGCTCTCGCACACTCCCAGGCACTCTCCCAGATTTGCTCGTCGCAGGTACGCCAGTCATCATCATCGTCATCATCATGAGACACCAGAACAGCATGAAGATGACACTGTCAACCTGTTTCAGCTTCCACAGTCACTCGAAGCCCGCACATGCTTGGTGATCGTTCCTTCTCCTATTGCTAATTTTAGGCCTGGTTCTTCAATTTGGCGATAGCGTCCCTCCCCTTGTGAGCTATCGGCTCTCTCGGCTTACCGTCGGTGTTTTGGGATGGGAGGTATCCTGGCCTATAACGGTCATTGTTACGGTCGTTATAGCGGTCGCTGTAGCGATCGTTGTAGTTGGTACGGTCGTTGTTGTAGCGGGTGTTGGGATTGTTGGGATCGTAACGATTCTGATCGTAGCGGCTGTCATATCGGTTGTTGGAATCGTATCGATCGTTGCGATTACTGTCGTACGGGTTGTTCCTGTCATAGGAACTGCTCCTGTCGTACGAGGAGGAGGACGACGACGACGTGGAGGCACAAGTCCACGCTAGCTCACGAGCCCGATCGACCAGGAACGACGGGAACGACTGCTCGTCAGACCGAGAGCACCGTCTGTGGAGAACCTCCTTGACGCAGTCCTTGAAGCGATTGTAGGCGCTGAAAGGGGAGACGGTAAGCAGTGGTGGGGACAGAGATCGAGAATGGCGTAGGACAGTGCGGGAACGGACTACGCGGGATCAATCTCGCGAGATCGCCGTATCCACGGGGTATGAGACGAGGGAGATATTCGGCTCTGTGTTGAAGTTCGACTCGAGGGACTCACTCGCAGGACTCGGATCCTGAGCGTCTCTGTGTGAAGGTGTTCTCACAGCGAGAGATCTCGTCATACTGGTAACAGCGACTGTTTCTCCAACCTGGAAGTACATAGATGTTCGAAACAGTTACACAAAAGTCCTTCATGAACTATTAGCGCGGTGAAAATGATGCTGATGCGCACCGAATGCGACAAACTTTGCACTTGGAACGAACAGAATGCAGCTCCACTGAAACGTATAGCATGCGTGACCATTTCACCAACAATCATAGTAATTCCAGAGCGAGCCACAAAAGTTTGCTCCCCGATGAAGCTCACGGACTGACTAGTTACATGATTCCGAGATCGCAACGGAACTTCGAGGATTGCTCTGACTGAATTCAGGTAGTTCTGATCATCCGAGGGAAACAGGTCACGGGGTCCGCATTCCCGGCAGGATTTTCGCAGCCCGAAGAACGAAAACGGGAAACCCCGCGATTTGATTTCAGGCAGGAGACCATAGAGCCTATCTATAACACCATAGACCTAGGTACTGTGTACTGTGTGCTGGACATCAGATCACAGTGGTCAACGGGGGAACTATTCCGTCGATTGGAATGAAGGCCCGGAGGCTGTACAATTGATATGAATGGTTTGAAAAAAATTGTCCCTATGTATCTGACGTTTACTACGACCAGCTGGTCTTGTCGGCGAGACCTGACTGCAGAACAATGGATGTATGTAGCGTCGATGTGTACACGGGTAGGAGGCTAAAGCGATCATATACACGATCTTTGGGATGAGCGCCGAGGTCATACGATCACAAAACTATGGAATCGCCAATGAGAATGATGATGATTCGTCTATGGAGTGGGATCGATCCGAGGGCAAAGCATAGGCGGCAACTCAATCTCTATCGCGATGTCGACTTGTCGACCTCTCGTGGAGACAGTCGACAACTTCAGCGTGCTGCCGAATATTTCGGAAAGAAAACCGCGTTGACTCAGAGCTCGTACTCGAAAAACCAAACTCCAACCCGAGACAATGGTCAACCCCCGTACGGAACACCGTGCATCCGTTGCGGCGCATCACAGTGGTTTACACACATACCGACAGCCGTAGTGTTGTAGTAATCTGTAAGTTTTACAAATTACCGTAATCCAATCGAACTCCCGAGATGGATATTCTCTCAGCCGTAGCACTCCCCCAAAGTCACGGACTCCGATGCGAGGCATCGAATAGTAATCTGTTCAATTGAACCGCCTCGGTCGATCTCTCACGGCGAAAACATCATCACTCGGGATGCCGCGGCGATACTCAAAATATATTTCGCGGGAAATGTGTGATCTACGGAGGATCAGGGGAGAGCTAGGAGAGACCTAGGAGTTCATTCTCGTCAAACTCACCGAACGTTAGCCTGCTCCTGTCTGCTAGGAGTGAAAGGAGAGAGTCATGAGTTGAATAGTTTGAAGCATAGATTCTCGAATAGAACCCGAGAACTCGATTTTGAACTTCGACGTGGAGAAACGCGGTTCAAGAGAGCGCTTCGAGCGAAGCTCTAGTTTTTTCTGTTCTCATTCAATTTCGAACCGCATCATTGACCATGATGTGACAAGTGCTAATCGGCCACGGAATCCATCACTCGATGAGCTCAGGGGAGGCTAAATTGATCGATCAATTTATCCCGCATGTATATAAGATCGAGCGAAAACTTCAGCTCACCGTAATTCCTATCTGCGAGCAGGGAAGGAAAAGAAGGGATATGTGGTCATTAGTCATAGACAAATCAACACCGCTGTTTGAAAATGGTTAGCAACACAAAAGGTTCGGATGGACATTTTTCGCCACGGGTGTCTTTACCGAACGGGTGCTTTACATTGCGCACTCACCCTGGAATGATCTCCTGTCTCCTTTGGGTAACGTTGCAAAGAAACACAGTTAGTCAGGCTTGCAGCGGGATAGATTCGAGATTTCCACGGCAATTCATTTTCTATCGAACTGGTATGTGACCTACAGCGGGTAGCACAAGACACCGCAGTATACTTTGGATTTGATCGAAACAGTCTGAAGGGCTGTCCATAGGGGGAGAATGTCCATCGGGGGAAAATCATGATCTCTCGTTAGAGGATATGTCCCTCCTGTAGGAGCTTGAGCGGAAGATCCCCGGCGGAAAATAATGTGGTCTCAACTCATGGTTTAAAATCAGTCGCGCTTGTTTCCTGCGCACCATACCCCGAGTGAGCAAGTCGCACTCATCCATATCTGCTTTATGCTCTTCGTGAAGTAAGTGTAGGATAATGTTGATCGATTCCATGAGGGCGTAAATATCTACGACTTCCAATAGGCGAGCGTTCATCCTTCCAAATGATCCATCGGCCCGTGAGAGCGCCACGAGTTGGACGATGAACCGATTTGGCGAATCGCCAGGACAGTTGGGAAGCGTTTTTTCTCTCGCGATGGATGCCACTCTCTTCCCTCTCGACTCCGATCATGTTCGGAGCAAATGTTCAACAGAGAGAGACTCTCAATGAACTCGCTCGCTGTGAGATGCAAATCGAGCGATACAGCTCGCAAGTACCCGGATACAATTCCGCTCAAACGAGCGACGACCATGGGATTCGGAATGAGTTCTGAGTAGAATCTCTTTCCGGCAAGCAACTAGAGCTCAGGGCATAGGAAATCCCTCTGGAGCGAGATAAAAACTTGAGTGAAACGGAAAGAGTAATCGACGAGAGGGGGAATTCTGTCGGACGCGTCGCCGACGCGCCAATGGCGACGCAAGACTTTCAATTAGAAACGCGAGATTCTCAGAAAAACTCTGATCGCCTGCGAACGATGCGAGCTCTTTCGATTGGATCCGATTATTTTCCTCGTTTGAAAATAGAAATGAACATTTCCCGTTTTCCCATCCCGACATGTCTACATAGAGACGGCGATTATCGTCCGAATCATGAGAAGTAGTACTCACCTCCGTCGAGATCGCAGAATCTGTCCAGATAGTTTTTGGCGGCGAGAATGTGTTCTCCGGATCGTTGTTGCTGTTCGCGAGTTTGACAGTTGGCAGACTGCCAGAGAAGACAGGCCATGTTGTCGCGGAGATTGCTGTAATGTGCGAAAGCATTCCATAAGCAGCGGTTCGTGTACCCAAACTTATTGTTAGCTCTTTCCCGCAAACTGGATTATGCCAACAATCGTTGTTGGTGTAGCGGAGAAGTTTCGCGAGCGGCCGACCGACGACCCGAACGTCGGACCTAGCAGAGTGCGGAATCGCGGCCGCTTCGTGTGTTCGGACAGTCTGCCGGAAAATCAGGGGGACCACACAATGCAGCGCACATGAAGTTCAAGAGGAAACCGCGCGTCGAATTTCTCTCGTAAGAAATAATTTTCGGGTATTCCATGGAAGAAGTGCGAGCATAGCTAGAAGAATTCGTGAATCAGGAGCTCTTCTGTACGTAACAGGCCTGCGTTCGTAATTCTTCGGAATCTTCTGTCGTGATCTTCGTGATCGTAAAGATGCTACTTCTGTTTCTGCTCGCAGATGTTCCAGCCGCTGTTTTTCTCTGTGGCCACGGCTAGAATTATTGCTGTCTTTCGAGCGATCCGGCGAAAGTCGTAGGATCTCTCCGGATATTTCAGGAGGTCCACCTCTCGATACGGTCTGGATCAAGTCGACAGGAGTGGGGAGAACCCTCGATAGGAACCAAATGATGGACACGCGCCTCGAACGAGCCTGGCTTCACCCCGCCCTCAGCGCGGTCTCTTCCACGGAGGAGCTTGAGATCAGACTCGAAGCGCATTGAATCGCTCTCTCCGAATAGGTTTTCTTTATCTCGATATTAAATGAGCCTGAACACGCCGTCGAATCTAAACATTCCTCGAGCTTCACTGTGGGTGCTCTTCGTGTTTGTGTTTGAATATCGTCTCGCATCAATTGAATCGCTTCCGAAGGAAACAACATCGTTCCACTTCAAATCCTACAGAAGAATCTTTTGTCCGCTAGACGCTGACGGCGCCGCTAACGAAAGGGATTCCGTTCCTCTTCTCCTCTATTGGTATCCCGAATCGCTCCGCAAGAGGACAAGAACGCTCGCGCGTGCTGGACAGAACCTCACAATTTTCGAGCGACGATGGACAACTAATTCATTCGACGGTTCTTATCGACGAAAGATGGACGTCGGACCCATATAGAAATCGCGAGGACATTGATCATATTTGTCAATTCCAGCGATTTCTATCGGACTCCCATCTTGATTCCGCTAGAGAGCGCACGTGGATCGTCGACACCATCTTAACTTCGAGGTTTCGATGGATTTTTAGCGTCCGACACCTTCCTCGTCCCACCGCAGTGGAGCACGGAGCGTGTTCTCTTCGACGAAACACGTGTTTTCGATCTTTCAGCTCGAGCACTCTGCTTCGTTGAAACTAATTCAAAAGACGAGACAGCTCATCTGTAACAGAAAAGGGGAATGGGCGGCCACGCGGCGAGGATGTTCTGTCATATGGACAAAGTAACAACATCGAAATTCGCGAAACAGGACGCTGCTCGCTGGAGTTCGTAGGTCCGGAGGGTTCGAATCTCATGTGGCTCCCCGCCGCGAGGAGGAACCGACTGGCATACCGGCTGTTCAGCGCGCATGGTCCTGCACTACGGCGGCGTGAGGCCCCGTTGGACCCAGGTCGGGAACTCCTGGGCCAGGGTCACCATCGGTGTTCCCGCCGAGCTTCCCGCGAGGCTTTCCGGAACGACCTCCAAAATGAGGTTTGCAATACACAGTAGAGCCCGCCGATGCGTCGGATCCCGGGATTCCGAACACAGGGGTGGTCATGGGCACACGGAGTCCGATGACTGTCGCTTGTCTAGTAGCTCTATCCAGCGAAACAGAGCTTCCCGTAAGCGTCACCGGTGGGGGATCGTTCGCCACGGCCTCGCTCGGAAAATTGAATTCATGCATTTTCCGGACTTCGGGGCAATGATCATCGGGCTCTTTCCCGCGGGAAATCCCCGACAACGTTCTATCGGGGACTGCTTCCGAATGAGGAACCACTGACCGATGTACCGTGGGCACCCACCGACCGCACGGCGGCGATACGATACGTCGGAAGCTTTGAGTTCCCAGTCCGCGATGATGTCCCGGGGAACTCGCGCCGGAGCGAAAAACTCACCCTCGCTCGGCTCCCGAAAACCTTGCGATCTCTCACAAACAAAACCTCGGCTAAGGCTCGCAGTGGACTCTGTGGGTTTCGTCTGAAAATCCGAGCCCTGATGGACGGGATTTGCGAGTCGCACGGTCAGAAGGAGAATCGACTAAAAATATGGAACAGCCTTGGCAGGGGATCGAGCGACGAAAAAGAGAGCAGAAAAAAAAATGTGGACAAAACGTGAGAGCTCAGCCTCCAAGCGCGGTTCTGTATTTTCGTTGTGATCGCGTTTTCAATATAGCCCATGTATGAGGTTGATGCGGTCAATATTTTACAGCAGAGCGAGCGTATCGAGCGAGACTTTTGAAAGGTCGAGCTTCCGACAAGAGCCAGACGTTGCTGTTGTTCTATGCATGAGCTTCGCTCCTGTTTCAATGACGGCCGAAATCGAAGCAGAACCTCTTCTAAATGTCGTACAGCGCGACGGTTACCGCAGGCGAGGTACCCGGATCATCCAAATTATTGATTTGTCTCTTACAGATATCCAGATGGGATATCTAGACGACTCTGGATATGCGGCGAGATGATCACGCACACACAAATGTCGGCTACTTCTGTGATTGTTGAGCGCGACAACTGTTGATGTCCCTATCATCGTTTTCAAATGACCGAGTGTTCGTACAATATCATCACATGTTCCGCGACCGTCGAGATAGATCGAGGAGGACTCCTCGCCTCTCCCGATCGCCTGTCTTCCTGGAAAGCTTTCGGAAACCATCCAATGGGGGGCATTTCGAGTATTATTCTCTCGATGTCAGATGATTTCGAATCGGGAACATGACCGCGAAAAAGCTGAACTACCTAGCTTCCCGCAGCCAGCTCGCCTCCACCGCTTTCCTGCTCTTCGTGCCAGTCGGGAGTTGATGCGAAGAGAAGAAGGTGTTGGCAAAACGAATTATTCGTTCGGATTCGTGTAGATGTCGACCCTTGAGCTACATTTTATTCGCACGTCTCCAGAATCGATGCAGATTCCTGATGGGCCGAGCGGGGTTAGAGACGCGAAGAAACGCCACGCGAAGCAGACCATAGACAAACGAGTGTTTCATACATACATACAGGCATAGCTTACGAAAGGGCATTGAACGCGGTCATGATCATGTCCCGGCATAATCAACCAGGAACCAGGATGTGACATAATGCTCGATGGGAATCCGACCGCGTTTCCTAGCTGCCAGTTGATAGTGCCGAAATAATCATCCGGTCTAAATCACCACTCAGATCAACTGGAAACGCGACGACTACGTGTTGTGTCCGGTGGCTCGGTGGAACATTACCCGTATTTGCCCCGGCTGTTCCGTCGCCCGCGATCAGGCATGGAGGAGAAGTCAGACAACAATTATTATCTATGTCTGGATCGTCGAGCGAAGATTTCCATCGACCCCCTTCGATACCCCGAGGTGCCAACTATTGTATGTGCGAGTAGTTTGGCGTTAGAAGGAGAAATACCTCTTGGCTTGAGTCGAGAAAACGGTCGAGCCTTAGCCTTGGTCCATTAACGGCCCTTCTCTTACTTAGTCGAGCACCCGACAGCGGGGCGGGCGGACGGCCAATCGGTCGAACGGCCGTATGGTATGGCGGTGGTGGAGCTGGACGGCCTTTGGCCGCAAAGCGTCTCGCGTTCGTTGAAAGATTCCGTAAGCGTCGATGACATCACGTTTGGCGAGAGATCTTCCTTCTGGCAGGGAGTCAAGGCCGAAAGCAAAAGTGTACACACGTTCGTCCGAACACACTTCGGCTGAAGCGTCGCTATTTTCTTCCAAAGACTGGAATGTGTCTTTTTTTCTGTTTTTGTTCTTCTCTTTTTTTCGGCTACTTTTTTCGCTACAGCTGTCGCTCATCCCGACTAATATTCGCCTTCCCGGCACCACCCAGAAATCCAACATTGGAATATTTATTCCGCCATTGTAGTTACGGAGCTAGTGCGTGCTTTTTTCTCTCTCTATTCCAGCCGATCGGACCTTGGGAGCTTCCTTTCGTGATGCGGGATGCGCCCGGAAACCTTTTGAAGGATATTTCGAGCCTGTTATTAGCCATTAATTCATCTACCAGGGACTGGTCGCCAGCAACCCCTCGCTGTGAGCGGATGATCCGATCGGTTGTTGATCCAGAAGCCGTTGCTGTATCCTTTGCGGTCGCGTAAGACTTGGTTGGACCTCGCTTCGGAGTTCCCTCCGAAGATACAGAGATCCAAAACACTCCGTTCCAGGCTCACGGCGCGGCGTGTTCAAACGTTCGAATCCGAAAGGCACTCTGAATCAGAACGCCAGTCCGACTTCTAGAATTCCTTCGACCTCATGGAAGTCTAGATGGGTTCGACGTTTCAGATGAAGAACTTGATCTTCACAATATCGAACTCCGAATATTCTCCTATCGAAATCTTGGGCAAGATCCACCTGCCGCATTTCATTGTGCTGCGATTTTGGGGTATTTCATCCTGGGGGACCGGAAAATCATCTCCCGATGGGATTTCGGGAAGGTCGAAGATCCGCAGTGAGTCACGAGCTCGATTCCTTTCCAGCGGAGCCGGTCCAAAGCTTCCCGCCTCGCTCTCGGATCGCGCTCTATGAGGCTCACCGAGCTCTCGAGCCAAAGTCTAAAATTCGGCGAGGCTTCTTTTACAGCCGTTTTGGCTCATATGCTCGGAACGGTTCCCCAGGGAAACCCTAAGCCGCTTCCTGCCGCCTGCATATCGCCCGACGACCGGCGAACGTTGCCTGCCAAGAAACAAATAATGAACAGCTTGAAATCAGCCAGAAGCAAGCCTGAGGCTGTTCCAGCCGCCCACATCACAATTCCAGAAGCGCATAATGGATTCTTGTACGATTGAGATTACAAGCTAAGCTCATTCGGACGGGCTCCCAGGAATGAGCGGAGGGAAAAGGGAACGCAGGAACACGCTCGAATATTTTTCTGCTCCCCACTCTGACGCAACAGTTTGAAAAGTATTGTTCATGGAAGGGACTGTTCCCAATAACACGGCGGAATGGCAACCGACTCCGCCAGTTCTCCACGTCTTCCGCCTAATCATGTCGAGTGCGCATCGTTTCGTCATGAAACCAGGGGCAGCGGAAGAACGAACCTCCGTCGCGATCGTGAAATTCGGAACAACCGCCGGTTGTCGGACGATCGACAAATTCCGAAAGCTGAAACGTACGAAGTGCGTTTCGTGATGACGTAACCAGCGAAGGCTCCGATCACCACGCTTTCCGTTCTTCATGTACGAACAGCGCGAGTGAGTTGTCGGAGAAGCGATCGTTGAGACGCTGCCTACTCCTGATGTTTCCCCTCGTTGATGCATGGGTATCCTCCCGCTCCTGCGACGATCCTTTTCGGACTGAATATCTCGAGTGAGAGGTGGGATACGATTAAGCTTGATTGTGTCTCCAATACTGATTGTAACGCGAGAGACAAAATGCCGTGGCCGGCGCTGGGATGGGGCTTTCAGCAGGCTTCGAGAGCGCTCTGAGGTTAATCATTTTCACATTCCAGAGTTTGCGAGGAAAGAATCGGCACGAGATTTCTCGGAATTAGAGATGCTGCTTTTTTCGGCCGGGGGATTTAACTCCCCCAATAGGAATCGGATGTTTACTGTGCAGCTCCGACGCGAGCAGAGCCGTCGAGATCAACGGTATGGGTGCTGAAGAGCGGATTGGATTCCCCGTCTCAGGAAAACTTCCATCAAGTCATTCATAGAGGTCTCATGAGACAGAGGTACGTAATGCTTCCGGTGCGTGGTGAGTTGGGGCATTTCTCGATCGGCTGCGAGAGCGATTCCGATCCCATCGGTAATGGTTTGCGTGATATGTATGGCGCGTGAGAAGGGCTCCCCTCGCCGGGGTCGAGCGGGCTCGGAGACATGTGGTCGAATATGAAGAAACGCTGTGGTTTCAGAGTCTCCCCATACACTCCCTCCGGACCAAATCTGGATTTTCATCCTTCCTTTTCATCCTTGGAGTCGGGTTCCCGACGTCAGGAACGAGGGAGGCAGAGGCATATCGGTCGAGACTGGCTCAAGCAAAAGTGGGTCTTGATTAGATTTCTTCTCGAAACTGTTGCCATGGTTCTCAAGACCGCATTGTTTTTTTCGAGATGACGAGAGTCTCAGCGGTTTGAAGTCTCGCGCCGGGTTGCCTACGAGACGCTGGATCAATGCGGTCGAAGATTTTATTTTTGTTGTGTTGCTGCTCCCTGACGCCATGAGAGTGCGTGAGTAGATGAGCGACAGGGAGAGGGTGAGCAGCAGCGGCACCGAGCGGCTGATGTTCCCGTCGGAGCAGGGCAGGGCGTTTTCTCGGTTCGATAGATTGCTTCACGTTGTGCATCCATGGCGACCAGCAATACACCGCGTGGAAAACAAGAAAGGAATGCGCGCCTCATTTCAGGGCAGAGCTTCTGTCCCCAACGTGACGTCGTTGTCAGCCATGCAGTCAGTTCGCCAGCCAGCCAGCCATCTAGCCGAAAAGCGAGCTTTTGATTCAAATAGCTTTTCTTTTCTGGCTCTTCTCCCGAGTACCGCCATCGATGCAAGAATCTGCGCTAAGAACATCAGATCTGGCCTAAATCGTGTTGCCGGTTCTCGGTAACCTCGCCGTAAAATCGTCCGTCATCTTCCGCTCGTTCGAGTCGAAGGAATCGAGCATGCCTGCCGAAAAACACTGCGACGGCGAAGTTCGGTCCAGTGAATGGTTTCTGACGCTTTTGCGCCTCAGCTCAAGTCCCTCCCACCCCCTCGTCCATTCGGAAAAAATCGGGCAATGCACACCGATGGTACCAGACAGAGAATAAGCCTCGGCATCGATGCGTTCCGACGTAGGGGAAAGAATCGAGATTGACCCGTCGATAGGTATCCAGCTCGATCACTTGAGTTCGAGAACAGCGCGTTGCTGCCGAGGCCTTGCGTCGCCCTGGGTCAAACCCACGAGCTTTTCGGGTCGATAAATGATAGGAACTAGCGGGTCAGGGCTCAGACCTAAGAGAATGAGAACTCTTTGGCTCGCATTCGAACACACGCTCTCCGAAGTGATTCCCTCCGCCAGCATCCTGGCCGGGGAACGAGACGAAGACACGAAAAAGAGCGGTAGAAAAATCCATTGAAACTTTTTTACTTACGGACAGATGGAGCTGACGTCCGATCCCGTGAAGTCTTGCGAGTGCTGCTGGATGACCTGGAATATTCGGTCCTTACATTGCTGCGCGGCCGCGCTCCGACAGGTCTGGCCGTTGACACCTTCGCCAAGCAGAGCCGCTGGAGATAGAGAGAGAAGAATACGCTTTAATACCGTCTAGGATACTTCATTAATCGACCATCGATTCCCGCTATTGACGGTCGCGCCGTCAAGAAGCACGCGACTCTGCACCCGAAGTTCTTCATTTTCTTCCCTTCAGCTGCCGATACGCCGAAGGTCGGAGATGTTGCTCCAGGCAAAGCAGCTGGGTCGCTCGGAGAACTCTCGATCCGTTGGATCCATTCCTCGCAGACTCGCCTCGAGGAATTCGAAATCATGTTCTACCGCAACGTCGCGGCCGAAAATCAATCAGGAGCTTTCCTGAGAGCAGAAAGCAGAGAACTCGAAACGAAGCTCAATTCATGGATTCTGGAACTCGATACAGCCGCGGCCGAACGAATTCCAAATCGATTCAGACCCTCGGAGAGCCTCGCATAAATAGTATAGCGGAATGTCCGACCCGAGGACGTCGGCAGGAATTCCTGGCCTGCGCTGTAACGGTATTCGATTTGGTCAACAGTTTTAAGGCCCTTCGAGAGTGCAGTCTCGGAACGAATGGACAGGGATAGAGATTGCGTGAGGCTCCGTATGCTTCAGTCTTGTTGATCTGGAATCAATTCCAGCATGGTAGACAAACCCCGCTATGGAATGGGATCCAAAGCTCTGAGCCATTCAAACCTTCCCTGAGCGATAGATGGTAAACAGCAAGGAGGTAAACAGCAAGGAGTTGCTCCTCTGAAGCGGCCCTCTTGAGAAAACACTTGTTGCTTGCGAGAGCTTGTTCATTCTCGATACGCTGCCTTCACTGATTTTATTTTTCGTTTGTCTTCACTGCTGCCTGAGGTTCGGAGCAGTTGCAGACACCTGTCCCTCGAATTCGCTCTCTTCTTTATCTTCATGTCTTCTTTATCCTCGGCTATCAGTTCGGAGTACCAGAGCAGATGCTACCGAAAAGGTATTTTTTCAGTCAGATGAATGAATAGTAATCCAATCATCTTTGCCGACGCTCGTGCGAGTCGACGCTGCTTGTTCGGCGCTTCTTTTGTCTCCGTCCGTCCCGGAGGTGAACTCAAGTTTCTTCGTTCGGGCGTATCTCCCGCATTGTATACGAGGTCGACATTTACGCGCGAAAGTGCGCTTCAATAAATGGCGGAGCTGTTCCTCTTAAAAATTGCATCCACTCGCTTTTACCGCAAGCCAGCCGAGTGGGGAATAACTCCACTGTTGTCGCGGCCGCCGTTCCCGCTGCTATTGCCGTTGTTGCCTCTAATAAGTCCTGGAGTTTAGGTCGCACGACAGCAACAGCTGCACAGATATGCCTATCGTCGGGTCCTGGGTTCTAGTCGTAAGCGAAATGCCCGCGAGTTCGGGTGGAGTTTTCGTCGAGCCAACGGAGTGCTGCTTGGGATATCGCCTGAGCAAAATTTCCCGAGTTCTCCGAAATTCTTCTGCTTAGGAGCTCCGATAGCAGTCATAGACCGATAGATCGTGCCTTGAAAGAAGATGGAGTCGAAGATAGTGAATATTCACGCGAATCTTCTCGCCGAGTTCAGACGCCAGGCCTCATCGCAGAAGGCCCCCGGAGCGCGAGGCAGAATCCCTCCAGGCGCGCAACTGTACATATTTAAAGCCTCTGAACAGCCTCCTGGTCGTTACCCTCTTGTCTTCTGGGACGGAGCCGCCGCTTCTGAATGCATGGTCCAGTGTTTTCAATTGTCTCGCACAGCTGACCGGCCAAAGGGCAAGACACGGCCGCCTGAAAACAACTCGCAACAGGCCCGCAAGGAAGCGGGGTCCCGTCGGAGTCCCGTCGGAGTCAGTTATAAATCGAGCCAGCAGCTCTGTCAGTCAGTCAATCCGTCCGTCAGTTCCGGTGACGGAGGAGGGTAAGAAGGAAAACTGAAGCGCGCGCGGACTATTGGTGTCACCGTTGCCTCAGCTGCTGGAGCCGTAGCGAACGCGCCATCGGTTACTCGGCCCGTTGTCGGAGTCGAGCTATGTGAATGACCCTTATCGTGCGGCGGCGGCAGCAGCAGCAGCAGCGGTAACAGCAACGCCAAGAAGACCAGAGCAGAGCGCGATGAGTGTTCATTGTTGTTGCTTTTGCTGTGACTCGAGGGGCTGCTTTCTAACAGAAACCACGGACGAGTCATCTCATTTCTTGCGTGACTTCCATGGGAGGAAGTCGACGGGCAACTTGTGGACGTTGTGGGAGTTACTCGATGATTTGCTTCTGGCTTGTATTTCCCTTCTGTTCCTTGGAGGAAGCCGTGCTCTGGTCCCATCAAGCCTCTCACCTGCACTCGCCATTCAGGGGTAGAAACCATTTAGCAGCTCCTGGAGGCATCGCATGTGAGAATGAGGATCTCCTGATTGACGCTTTCTCCGAGAATAACAGAGGAGTCTATCCCCATCCCTGCTCTGGAAGAGGGCTCTGGGTATTATTCCCTGAGCAGATGGGCATTTCACCTCCAAAATTCTTCCCTCTGACGGAGGCCATTTAAATTTCCGAATGAGAGATCAATGTCGATATACGGGAGGGAACTGAATCCTGGGAATCCTGGGGAATCGAGTTGGAGATGTTCGAAAGTCCATAGCGTAGAATGATGGAGGGGTCCGGGAAAAAACGAAGGATCCGGGAAGCTCCTCGAGCTTCCTCTGCAGGCTCTTACGAGGCATTTCTCGATTAATTAGACGTATTCAGAGCTTGCCCAACGTTCTCGAGCCTCAGGACAGATTGCGCGAATCTTCAAGTATCGGACGTATTCCCTACCTACCGTGTACGCGTGCGGTAATATTTGCAACACGGGTTGAAATTCTATTGTTCTTCGTCCAGAAGAAAGAAATGGCAATACTTCTGTATGTATTACACTATTTACCTTGTGTAAACCCTTCCGCGGCATCGGGTATACTCTCTGCGCGTATCTATTCCTTCGAGTGTAACCGTGAGAATCCTCCTGCATGTTTTCGTCTGCAGGTAAACTTCATTCTTTGCGCAAGTGACGCGACCGACCGGCTTGGCGAATGTCAACCATCAGGCAGATATTCATAAAACCGATGTCAATATCGGGTGTCTGATAGTGACCAGCGGAGCTTGACGGAACTTCGCATGTCGTTCGTCCTATGTCCAATTCAGACTGATGAAGGAAAGAGTATTCTTTGTGGATTCCGTGACGTTGTTATTCCAGCCGCCAGCACAAATGCAGCCCCGGTAGCAGTTGAGCAGATAGAGTCAGTTTGCGAGTTTCCATGGAGACAGGTCGCGTTTAAGTTCCACTCAGTCGTGTGAGCTCGTTTTCTTGGCTCGTTTTTCTGATGTCCACACGCTAAACGTATTATTCCTCCGCCCGTGAGCCCATCGTCAGATACGTCTACCCGGCGCACGAACGAATGGGCGAGCGAGCCAACGAACATCGCGGGCCTCACCGGTCGTCATGCGGAAGTTTGTCACTTTGCGACTTGTTCCTCTTTTTGGTCCGATTGAAATTCCGCATGTTTTTCGCCAAAATGGATCAGAATGCCCGTCGACGCGATCCGGAGATCGTGAACATGACGGGAACGCCGAAGAAACTTTCAAGTTTCCCGATCTCGATGGCTGTGACTTCTGTGGATTAGATTGAAATGAATCTCGATCACGTCGCGCTTGACGAGAGAAATTACGCGTGGATCGGAAGTTTGCCGCTATATACCGTTCTTATGTCCGGACAGGGCGCGGCAAGCGCTTTTCCCGCGTAATGAAACCATGTTCGTCTTATCGGATGTTGTTTCAACACTCAACAAATCATCGGTGCTCCGAGCAGACTCTCACTAGCGGTGCTGTCGATGTCCCCTCGTCCTCGTATTTGCTACAAATCGGTCGCCGGCAGCATTGCGAAGCGACTTTGGACGACGAGTTTATCAGAGCAATCGACCAAGCGACTTACTTACTGACTGACTGACCAGCCGACCTACTGGAAACGGCCTTGAGCGATACCATGACGGAATTCAATTCGGAGAGATCTGCATAGGGTTGAGGCGCTTCGCAAATATGGAATGCCATGGCTGTTCGGAGCCAAAGACCAAGTCGAACATGGATAGGTTGCTTGCCAACTATTCCGCCGCTCGTTTCCGATGCGTGGGAGAGTCTCAGCGTCGCCTACCGCTGCTGCCTGCTTAGGAAAGTCTTACAGCCTAGGTCGCAACCTTGTCTTCGGCCTTCTGTGGCAGCGAGGCGCATCTTGCCAAGTCACCGCCTTCAAACGACGAACAACGGTACCAGCTAACAGCTTCAGGGAACATGCTCGACTAGAAGAACAGATTTATTGAACCAATCGCCGAAACAACTCCATCCCAGATCACAGAATGGGGATGCCTTCTAACCATGGAAAGATAAGAAACTCGTGGGCATCAGAGAAAATAAGGGAAATAAATACGTCCAGACGAATTCGTGATCCCAGGAGAGTTCGAAAATTCTGTGAATTGGTGTGACGGAGTAGCTCCTTGTGCGAGGTTCTCCAGAATCTTCCCAGGCGGTCTCTAAAACTCTGCTGTCATCTTCCGAATCGGGGTTCGGTTCGGAAATGGGGATCGCCGGCCAGGAGAGAAAATAGCTTCCTCGTCTGTGAGCCGTACGTATGCGAAATCGTGGAAGGAAAGCAGAGTTTTTCAAATTTATGACCTCCTTCCGGCATATAAATACCAGCGTTCGTTCAGACACGGAGAAAAGCGTAGCGTACATGTATGCCTTGAATTCCTGATTCCAAATAGCAAACACCAGTCTCTTGTCGCAGAATCACACGTACCTGGTCACGGACAAAGCTAAATCGAGCTAATCTTAGATGCACTCGGAAGATCGCCGCGGACTTCTGACTTAATGTGAAATTCATCTGAGCACGTTTCTCTGAATTTTTTAGAATTCTCTTTTCTGCTCACTCTCTGCTGCTGAGCGATCAGAAAAGCAGAAGATTGAAACATTCACGTCAGAACGCCTCAAGACAGAGCTCTATACAGGGTTGTTCGGAGCAGCCTTGGCTCCGGGAGCCAATCCCACCAGGTGATCGCAAAGGACCCGCAATTAAGCGAACCCATGTCGTCGGACACCCTTCCGTACAGAAAAACCGATCCCAAGCCGCGAACTTCCTAGGAGTCAACTTATTGACCCAGGAAAAGCATTTTCGGGAGGCACGGGCCGAGGGGTTGGTCTGCTTGGAGAATCGGGACCCTTCCATCCGAACAAACGAGGAAACAAATCGACGGTCGTGGGGGGGAAGAAAAATAAGCGAGCATCGAGTGTGATCTCGAGAGAACGCGGCCCGTTTCCACCTGATCTCAATTTTTTCCCGGCGCTAAAATTCCAGAAGTTCTCTGACGCAGTGACCGCCCAATATATGGCACCTGCGGAGAATTAGCTATCTAGATGCTTTTCTCGGGGAAAAGATCTTCGTAGACTTACCGACGGCCGCGGCTACGACGAAGATCCACATCGCGGGAACGGGAAGAACAACAAGTCCAGAAGAAAGAACAGCTCCAGCGAGCGAGGAAGCTGGCAGTCAGATGCACCGAAAGAACGAACGACCAACCAACACCAAGTTACCGGGCGACCCACAGACGACCAACAGACGGACAGCTAGAGCGGACGGACTGCAGAAGAACCCGACGGCGGTTCAGACCAGCGGTTCAACGACGATGATTATCTGGTGAGTGTTGAACGACGGCGGCGGCGGCAACTGCAGCAGCGGCAATAGTAGCGGCGACGGTGTTCCAAAACACACTGTGACCAGCCGCGCGCGAAGAGAACCACACTATATCTGCGCTATAGAGGAATGCTGCCTCAATGCTCTGTGTTGATCCGACGACGCCATGGGAACCGCTCCTCTTATATGAGAGAGGGTGCGCGACGTCAACTGACGGGCAAATTGACGCCAAATTCACTCACTCACTCATTCATTCTGCTGCTCAGTCTGCGGCGATCGTGCAAGCACAAGTGGAATCATAATTTGTTGGAAAGTCTCTCGCTAAAAACCCTTTTCATCGACGGCAAAATCTGCTCCTCCCACCCCATCCGCTGGATTCCTCTCGAGAGCACCGATCGGACAGACGTCGAAGCAATGGGGCCATTATACGATCCATCGTTTTCGTCGATTGTTGGCATCTTTCAGATTTAGGTTTCTCCCGGAGTAGGGTTGATGAATATGGTCGAGTCGGTGTGAGCGAAAGTATAAAAACCCGACGCTAGACCCGCTTAAAAAATCGCTTCGGATTCTCTGGCACTCGTCCGGCCATCGGCAGGCGTATGGATGCTGCAGGAGATCCATATTCGTTTTTATATTTTCCATCTTTTGTCACTCCGAAGCTTTTGTTTATCGAGAGGAGAGCACCAGGCACTTCGATCCACTATTCTTGGAAAGCCATCACAAGAGGAGCCCCTGGTTTACGGACGTGGACTTGTTCTCCGAGTCTTCCAAGAGTTCGGGAAATTCAGCAATTGCTCGGATCAAGTTGAAAGTTGAGGTTTGGAACACGCTCGCTATATCTTCTGAGTTCGATAGGCGATGATATGGTGGAACCAAACAGCCGATAATAAGGGAGCTAATCAGTCAGAGCTAATCATGCACGGGTCTACAGGAACGAAGATGTCGAAGGAAATCAGGAGAACCCCGCCCCGCAAGTCACGAATCCCCCTATAGCTCCCCATCGAAGTAGGATACAGCCTTCAAACTGTCCTTTCCCCGAACCATTGCCACTCCCTCTCGGAGAAGTTCTTAAGCCGCCTTCGCTGCGATAGAGAGCGGCTACGACCCTCAGTTCAAGTCTGCTCCCTCGAATGAGACAGACTCATTCCAATATGGGATGAATTGCTCGCATGAGATCTTCGAAACACCCTACAATCCGCTTCGAGTGAAATACGTTGAGCCGCATCGAAATACGCGGGGTACATGATGATTGGAGAATCACGTGATGATGACTTTCAGCGTGAGCGCTCTCGCAACCCGGAAGTCGCTGCGAAGCCTCAGATCTCGCTCGAACGCTGATGCATCGAGATCGGGAAAATCACACGCAGCGCTCGTCGCAAACTTCTCCCCTAATGACCTTCATCATATGTATGAATTAGGAGCTCTCTGAGAACTCTTGGAGCTTGGAGACCCCTGTTTGAGTTATTCAGATCTCGCCGATCGTATCGAACATTCCGGGTTCACTTTCGGAGCAGTGCCGCGGCGCATACGTCTGGAAACCTCCTCTTGTTATCCGGAGAGAGTTCGCGAGATCTGAGGACTAGAGAGACTTCCTCATTTTCAGACGATCGAGATGACTCTGCTTTTATTTGGAGAGATCAGAAGTTCCGCTGCAAAGTCGCGAGACGAGTAACACGGTTCGTTAGGAGTCGTCCGCGTATTGTATTACCTGCTATTAGGAGTCGTCCTCTGGGAGATGAAAGTCTCTGGATCGGCTGACTCCAATCTAACAACCCATCTAACTACATACGTACTAAGGAATACTGGTGCGTCAGCGAGGGAAATTCTCGTTTCACTCACGTTGTCACTTATCCATCCACTCCCTGCCGTCGACTATGCCTCACGGGTGTGATCATTTCCTGCGTTACGTTTATGATGTTTTCAGGATCCCAATGAACCAACTCCGCTGCTCTCTTACTCATCGTCGCTCTGATGGCGCTACGGCGATATTCGTTTCCATCAGGTAAACTACTTGTTTTCCGAAGCGACAAAGCCAGTCGGTCGGAAAAAACTTCTGGTTGTCATATTGCAGCCGAATAGTTCGCTGGCTGGGGAATCGGAATCCGATGGACGACCTCAAGCCGCTTCTGATCCACGACCGTGCGAACAAAAGGACGACGAATTTCGTTTACTTGCGCCCACTACCGTTTTCAAGACTGTCTGTCCTGCGTTGACATCGCAGCGAGGTTTCCACGTATTGTATCTAACAGAATATTTAATATTTATTTGAGGCGTTCTTGGAAAAGGATCGGCCGAGTCGAAACAGAAACTATAGCAACTACATGAGCGAGACCCGCCGGAGACATCCGCAAATATTGGTCCACTATCCGATGAATTCGCTGGGATACGATCCGGATCGGAGAATCCAGAGCCAGAGCATCCAGAGACCTGACTCGACTCGTGACAGAATTTCTTCGAGCATGAGGCTATTCCAATACTTCATTGTTTTCAATTTTCCGGGCAACGAGAGGAGGGGACTGTTCGAGGGGCAATCATGAGGCTTCCGAGAACGTTGGGTGTCTCAGTATCCTGGACATGTTTTCGGCTGGAGTTACACGGGGAACTGGCCCGGGATCCACGAGAAGATCCATTCCGTCCCCAATTAAATTGATTTGGGCACTTAATTATGCACTCGCTGATCCCGAGATTGCAGCACGCGTCTCTTTTCGGAGGAGCGATGTTCAGAGAGAAGAATCTCCGAGCGATAGAGAAGTTTCGCGGGACTTCTGAGACTTTGTATAACAATGTAGCCGATCCATACCTATCAGGTAAATGATACCCAGGGAAATCGAGCTTGTAATATGAGCCGGGAACCGGAGTGGCGGTGGCGACCGTATCCTGCAGACTATCGTTCGCAATGGAGAGTTCTGCTCTGGGTTTCATACCAGTCACGAGCAGATAATGGTAGCGCTGCACATGGTCCTTAGAGACTCATCTTTCTAGCCCTCCGATATTTTCCTCCCTATGATTCATCGTACATGGTTCGCATTTAGTTTACCGAGCTCCTGTCGCCAGCGGAATCGTGCCCGAGTCATCGTTGCGGCACGCGTACGCGTCGCATCCACGCGTAGCTTCCCTGGGTTTTGTGCAAGATCTTCTCCGGACGTTCGGGTGATTCACGGAGAGCTCGGGTACGGGTTCATGCTCGACGTGGCGTCGCTTCAGCTATTGGCACGCGATCCACCTGAATCAGAAGCACGTCAGAGACGCCGAGTGACCACCTCAGGTGACATGCGAAACTGGCGCGATGCGCATGAAACATTCATGATATTAGCGATCGGGCCTGTCCATGCATCGCGGATTCGAGTGGCACTCGCATTTCAGCCGTTCCTCCGACTCCTCCGCTGACGTGAACCGAACGAATTCTGAAAGGCGGAATCGGACGGGGAAGCAGCGAGGGAAAAACTGACATAAATAATAAATCAGTCCTTCCTACTCGAACAGATGACAGCGTCGGTGGCGTTTAGCAGTCGAATCCTTCGAAATGGAAATGGGAGAACACATCAAAGTGGATCGCCAATGCTCGCGCCAAATTCGCTCCCGGCCAGACCTGCGACGACGCTCGCTCCAATCTCGTCTTCATCTAGGTTTCTGTGCAGTCGACGGAGGTTTTCAAGAGACGTAATTCGATTCATTTCTGGAGGGTTTTCTTGCAGTCTCATTGAGCCTCCATTGTACGCTCGGGGATTGTTCGACCGTCCGTCCGGCGAGATCCCATGCTCATCGGGTCGAATTTAGTCTGTCGGACTTGGGGGAGCTGTGAGCGCAGACACAAGCAGACCGCAAGGGGGGGGGGGGGGCGTATGCCTCTGGCGCTGTTTTTTCCGAGCAGCATTTCGGACAGGATCCCGACCACTGTCTGAGGGAAGAGTAGGATCCGTGCAGACCAAGCGCGATGAATTCTCCTGCCCAACTCGCAAATGCCCAGATGGCCTTGCCAGGCCTGAGATCATACTGCCGAAAATCCGTCATGACGAATATGCCTTATCCGATGTTGTCGACTTTTTCGCCCGGGCCTTCCCCGATTTCCCGAATATTTCCCCACTAGGAGTGCTGACTTGAGCGAGCTGGAGTTCCAGGACCTTGATAACAGAAGCTCCCGGGCGAGGATCCCGATGATTCCAATCGATCGACAGAAACCCGTGGACGGAACTCTGCGAGAATGAGCGAGACCGATGCGGGCCAGCGAATTCGAGGAATCATGGCAATAGGCTCGTCGGCACGGATCGTCACCTGTCATAAGATCAATACGTGTGCGACGAAGAAAGGTGAATCGAGACCCCTGCGGACGCAGTATTCACCGGAAAGCGCCGGGAGCTCAAGAGTGGGACGTGGGAATGATGTGAAATCGCTACCTGTCTTGCGCTCTCCTTTCTCCACAGCCATGTGGTCGGTGAAATTCGAATGCGGAGACTTACAACGCTTCGTATCCGTATAAATTCCCTGGAGTGCCCAAGCAAGCGTTGGTAGTAATGTTTCGAGCCACACATGCAACCTTTATATGAATGGGAACCTCTATATGGGTTCGTTGTGAAATTTGTTGGTAATCTGAAAACCTTTGTTTTCCTCGCGTCTACCTGTTCGGAGTTGCCGGAGGAACTCGACAAGATGCTGTTCCCAGGAGTAAACGGAAACTTGTCGCAGAACTTCCTCCGAGGACATGTGGGGTCGTGTGGAGAGACGTCCGATCGTGGATGAAGCGCTCCGGGATACCACCGAGACTTTTGAGGCCTCCATATAATTTTCTGCGACTCTTCGGTCGCTTTCCTTCTGGATCGATAAATGAGCTGTCTTTATTTTGTTTCCACACAACACGAATTCGCGATGCCAGAGACGAGCTTCCGAAATTGTTGCGCGCTGACAGAATCCACGCGACGTTTGTCTCACCTTCTGGACAAATTCAGAATCCCAGAGGCCTCCGGCAACACTTTGCATCGAATTGTTTCGATTCGTTCGACTCGCATGCGTCTTGAGTTTGGAATGACTTGCTATTCTCTTCCAGGAGTAACTGGGGGGTACGAAGGTCCCGCCGAATGATTGATGGTCGTTTTTGCATGACTCGTCATCGAGGAGCGAAAGAGACCGTGAGTTTTCTCGAAATGTTCACTCCGACCGCTTATGCTCGAGTTTACTCCATAAATTGCAGAATCGACTTTTCTCCGAGCAGTGTTCCCATTCGGGCCGGAGTCAACTTTTGACTTTGCGCTCTCTGCGAGCTACGAGACAACCGAGCTTTTGTGAGCTGTGTTTGAAAAGAGGGCGCGTAGCGTCTTCGTAATTATACGTGTCGTCGGAGCGTCCCACTATGCGAGAGACTTTTTTTCTTTGTCGCTTTTCTGCACTTGACGTGTGTTTCTGAAGCTCTGTCGGTTACAACAACTCTGTCGCGGGCTGCCGCGAACCCCGAGGGTCTCCTAGAGTTGTCGCGTCATTTGCTCGGTTGCTTAGAGCTCGACTTCAAACAAATCGACTATCATCGGAGCTGATATCGCGATTCCGCAGTCGAAAGTGCTTCCGAACGATTGAACCTACTCTGATCGAACGTGTTTCATCACGCAACATTACTCCGCGCTATCTCCCAGATGGAAGTTCATTAAAAATCCTCATCAACTTCTGGGGCTCGTTAGATTCCTGTCTGGGAGATCCTATCCCGGAAACGTTCTGTGACTAAAACTCCGAACTGTGTCGGGTCCATGGAAAACCGCAGCGACCTTGGAAACTCAATCCATTGAGTTTAGTCACTGTTGTTCGGCAAGATAAATAAAAAGTGAAACTTCGTTTCTTTGAAACAGCAATTTTCTCCGGACAAACATGGAAACAATGGGATACGGGAAGCTCTGTTTCGTGTCTTCCGAAGTTTCGGCGAGTTGTCTTAAAGCACACGAGTCTTTCTCATTCGAATCGTCTGACTCATGCACGTGTGACTCGCTCTCGATCCGAGCTTGATGAGCCTGTCTCTGATTTCGGTCGCAATCGAGGTCTCGCCTCCTCATTGTCCCGATGGTGGCCTCCCCATTAAGCTGAACTTCCAGCGACTGAAGGAGCGGAACCCCGCCATGCATAGGGGTACGACTCGGTTTCCCAGCTTCGCAACTTCTCCGCGAGTCGTCGTAGCGGAGATGTCTGGCGGAAATCGAGTCAGGCGTGATCTTCGCGATTCGGGGTGGGGTGTGAGGATGATGATTCGACGACATTGATCTATGACAGTGTCGGGAATATCCGCGATATCGCCTCGGAGCGAACGCTCGTGACGCAAGAGCTGATCCGTGTTTCGCTGTCGTTTTCACAGTCTTTGTTGTCATTGCCATGTTCGTCGCCGTCAGCTCCGGAGAGATGTCATTGTTGCGGAGTGGAACGCCTTGGGCATGCTTTTTAGCGGCTGAATCTCTCGTCGTACATACATGAGCTCGGCGCTGGTAGTCTTCTGGGCGAGCGACAGATCAATCGGGCGATGCATCATAAAATTTGTAATGGTTTTAGGTACCTCTCTCAAGGTTTCATTTTCAGGAAATAAGCGCTGGCAATGATTTCACTGTTGCAGCCCCCGTGATGAGGTCTGGATTATACGGAAATGCTACTTTCGGCTATCCGGGATACCCTCCGCTGAAGTCCCCTGGTGTTTCAACCCCATCGCCCAGGCAATCTCCCTGAAGTTTTTTCATGTAGGTTCGCTTGGAATTCCCCTCGCAGCGGACGAACATCGGTGTTCTCGGGAGCACGCCATCGATTGCACTCAAATACTCCTCGGTTCCAGCTACTCCTTCCAAATCGATGCTTCTTTTGGAAAATGTCCCACTCGAAAATATTCTGCGCGGACAATGAGCGGAGAGAAGATGAAAGACTTCTGTGGATGGACAGATGATAAAAACTCGAGTTTCGTATTTCTCCGTTCATGTCAAATTGCTGCGGACTTTCGTTCTCGTCTTTGCGACGCATCAAGGTCGGGGTTGTTGATTGAGGTACGACTGTTCCGGTACGACGAATACGAGCCGTGGGATCACTTGAAATGGCTGAAATTCGGGAACGAAACCCTCGGCAGACGGCCGGACAGACAACTAGGGGAGGCAAGGGGGAACCGACCGCCGACTCACATTACGAGAGGAGCAGAGAACATCGTTACGCCGAGTATCGAGTTCATCCGCGTCCGACCCGAAAGTCAGAAGTGACGCCGTGCGCTCCAAGGGATAGGAATCGGTGCTCAAGCCTGGCGTTGCGGTACTTGTCATTGAGGAGGCAGTAGTCGCTAAATAAAGACTGAGTTTGTGCGGAGACACGACCAGTGAACAGTTACATGATTCGCCGCAGAGATTCGTGATACATCCTGCTTGATCATGATTCAGTCGAATTTCGGATGACTCGAAAGAGAACTTCTTGAAGTTCCTTTTTGTTCGCGACCGACCGGCTCCGAGCCGAAAGCGGATGCTTCACGGTCGAGGGCGCCAGAAGCGGGACTTGAGGATCTAATCGGGTTTCGAAAAAAAATTCTCTCATTTGTCCTCCTCGCCCTCATGTTGATGCATTAAAGGCGATTCTGTCGACTCTGTTCTGGTCAGGAGGTTTTTTTTCGGGTCACATGGGGATTCCGTAGATCAGGTCCCATGCTCGCGAAAAAGTTCTTGGATAATGTCCCAGTGAGTTTTCGGGCGTGTAGTCCGAGGAGACGTGACGATGACAGCTGAATAAATACTGGGATAGAACCGACTCTCCAATCCAACACAGATGAGCCTCCGCTTCCGCCCCCGTTCGCAGCGACTGAAACAACACGGTCTAGCTCTCGTGCCTTTGTCTCTCCGCGCAAGACTCCGCCCATCGAAATCAGATCTTGTCTTCTCGGGAGCGTCTCCAGCGAACCATGCTTCTACAGAACCTCTACAGTCCTCCAGGCGCGCCGGATCTTCCATGAAGGCTCCTCTCAAGATTTTGGGTCGAAAACGAGAAAGTCGCTGCCGGTGTGCTTGACCCACTGAATGCGGAATGTTCGGAGTAATTCTGAAAGAGGAAGGCGACGGGAAGACTCTCTAAGCTAAGCATCGGACCCCCCTTTATCTGAGAAGAATGCGAGTATCTTCCTTTTCCCGCCTCTCTCGTCTCGCTACTCAATGCTCCCGATGGCTCTGATAGCTTTTGAGATATTTTGTCATTGCCATAATAATAATAATTGCACTCGACCGCTGTAGAAACTATCATGGCCACTGAGAGCAAACGACCAGTGAGACTCGGAGTTTGCCGGCTCGCAAACAAGTAAAGAGTTAGGTTCGGTGAGTTTCTCCGCCCTTCCATCGAGACCGCGATGCAAGGATTCCGAGGAGCGCTCTCTATCTCTCTCGTTCTTGCGAGCTCGAATGGGGAGGCACTGTCGAGTTGGGCCCGGTCGGGCAGGCTCGAACAGATACTGATAGCCAACAGAACACCTTTCAGACCACCATGGTGGAGCAATGATAAGCTTTTCGACCTTCCTGTCGTGGTAAACTTTTCATAAAAAGTTCATCTTCTCGTCTCGCACTGGCGTCCTCGGCGCTTCGGACGCCCCGGACGTGACAGCGATTCTCGTCGGCGACGCCGCATAGGTACGTTTTCTATTAAAGCGAAGGCTGGGAGCATCGATAACGAACTTGGAAAGCAGGCGTTCACGGGAATTCTACGATTTTGCGGTTGATATCATCGGACTGCCATCCAGTAGCTCACCACGTGAGAGGGGACCCTGTACCGGGTGCTCTGATTCTCTACAGGACCCATGAGGAAATTTTACGTCATAGGTCTCCTCCCGCGATGAGCTCTTAGGAAAACCGCCGAAAGCATATGCAGCTCCGAATGGATGGCTTCAGAGGAGAGAGTATTGGAACGTGACAACGACAAGCCTTGGGGCCTTGCCGCAGCCGCCGAGAAGCGTTGACTCGCTCCCGTTGTCTATTACAGAAGTTTCCGCCTAGGAACGAGCAATCCGAGTAGTCAGGAGCGAGCGCTTGTGGATGGCAACCTCTAATCGCCGCTGGAATGCGGACTCCTTCATCGACAAGTGAAAATTTATTATAGCTCTTGGAGGGATTGCCGAAATCGAGAGCTTCGGAGAGAGATGATACGAGCAAAGGAACGAGCTCCGGACCACCGTCGAGTCCCTATGGTTTCCGATCACTGAGAATAATTCCTGTATTGCCGAATGAGCCACCAGCTGACGGGTTGTCCTCACCTATTTTTCACGGTGGCGTCCAGCGCTCAAAAAATTCGTAAGCACTGCGGAAGTGCTACTTGAGTAAGTGAGGCACTGGGGTCGAAAACTCCGCAGGGATCGTACACAGAGCTTCTATTGAGCTTACTGCACTTGAGAGACGACGACGAGACGGGGCAGACTCCGCATTTTCCCTGGATGTCCCCGGAGTAGAAGAGTCACCAGGGCACTGTTTCGAGCTTCACCGCTCCCTATTCGAGAAATGAAGAAGTTTCGAATCTGACGAATGTTTTATTGAGTCGACTCAGCACGTGGCCACCGCTCCGGGACTTTCAATATATGACTCCTCAAACGTCAGAGAAAGATGAGGCTCGATTCTAATTTTTGTCGAGAGTCCTTCCTTCCAATGAAGGAACTACGCTGGCAGCTCCTCCAGGAACCTGCTGCGTCTGCATCCTAACGTTCCCAAGCTGCCTCTCCTGCTGCGGCTCCTACTCGACAAGCGGCTCTCCTCGACACTGGATCAAGTTCATGGCTTCCTTCTGCGAATTAAACAGGACATAGGTGTCAACGCCTTTCTGTCGCAGTCTCGCGGGAAAAATGTCAGTAGGGAATCAATAATCGTTTATGCTGATATGAAGTGATTTTTCGATTTCTCGTATAATACTCTTCACGCGATCGAGTCGATCGGGCGGAACGTGGTGGAGACTCGTTATCGGCGTGATCTCTCTTGGTATGGGCTGAGTCACATTCATCAGCAACTCCGCTCCCAAGTCTAGATTGGGAGGAATGCGTCCATCAGTACAGAGAGAAGCTCGGCACCATCTAGAGTGATCTGAGATCGCAGTCTCTCCGCGGCTCATCCTGCATATAAGAGACAAACTGAACTTTGAGATTCAAAGTTCCACCGACTTGTCGCGACTTCCGGAACTCGCAACAATGGTCGGACAGGCAAATGTGTGTCTACTTTTGGAACGCTGTGCACTTTAATTATTCACACCGAGAGATGGGAAGAGGCCATCCCTTGTGCAACATCCGAGCCGACCTGTCCTGACAGGACCCACAGCTGCCAGCACTGAACACACTCAACAGAGCTCTGCGCAAACAGCCTCGGGGCTGAGCGGGACGATGAACATTGAACGTACCGCACGTCAGCATCGAGAACTCCCAGCTCTCTCTCTATTCTCCGTTCTCTTGGAAGTAGCTTGGCTCCCCCGTCCGGGGTCTGCCGAGTCCGAACAGACCCGTCGCTATCGCTCTTGTTTCCCGGACGCCTGGGTAGAGTTGCGCGCCCGAACTCGATCGCTCGCGTTCGAGGCTCGCGGAACGATAGAGTTTCATGACAATGACCTCCTCGATCGAGGCTCGCTCCATCCAATAGAGACCGGTTATCATTAATCCCCATTCGAATTCCTCCTCAAAACTCATTTCGTTTGGACCGGGCGCACATGTAGATACACCGCAAAAATGAGGAACGCAATCGAATCGCCTGGATGGAGCATACTCGCGAGCTTCTGGGATGTCGGGTCAACCAGACTCCCCTTTTTCTTTGCTGTACCGAAGCTCGCATGAGCTACTTCCCGTTCCGGTTAGTTTTGTTCCTCTCCATTTCCCTGGGGATGGCTCGATCCGCATCGGAATCGGAGTCAATTTGCTTCCTTCCTATGATCTATGGCGATGCGGGGGCTCATAAGTCCGTTTCGGGCAGTTTTGGGTCGACATTATCACACTTGTCACATCAAGTAAACCATCAACCCACCGATGTGGGAGATCACCGAATCGGACCGCGGTTCATGACGACGATTCACGTGAATACATCCTGCCCGAGACAAGGAGTCGATCTCTGGATCTGGGATGCTTATAAAGACCGTCGAGCTTGTCGAACAAAACGCGCGAAGCCCGCAAGTTCCCGGTCTGAGAGAATTTCTAATCCGGGAATACTGCGGAACACCAAGATCTGTCCTCTCGGTGCACTCGTGGTCTTAGAAGGAAATCTACGGGATGATTTCCCGAGACCCCCTCCATCCGGACCGATAAGAGCGTTTGGTTCGAGTAGAGAGCAGTCCCTTACAACCAGCGGTGCGCGATGAAGAGCGAGAGATCACCTAGGTCGGAGTGAGTTGCTGGGTACGGATTCAATACTCACCACTATCATCTGCTTGATACGGTTGATGACCTGGAGGTCTCGTTGGGCACAATCGTCGAGAGCGCGTTTGCCGGCTTGCCAACTCTTGCTGAACGTAATCTGAGCTTCAGTTGGCATCGTCTGGGCCAAGAGCACCAGGGCCACGAGGCCTGCGGCAACGATGAGGAATCGGGCGTTCATCTCAAGACGTTCAGGACACCAAGTGATCCTGTGAGATCCTGTGCGTGAGCTTATATAGCTTGAGAGTCCGTCCAACGACCGATTCCCAGTTCCGGCCAGCCACGTCAATCGGATGATCCCAACTTCAAAGCGGTAGAACTTAAAGGATGAGATGACATTGGAGTAGGCACCGGAAATCGAATTCTCGATCGACTCAAAGGGAAAAATCGAGCTACGGGGCTTTCGATTGCATGACGTGTCTTTCGCTCGGAAATTCGCTACAGATGTTCGGATTTCTATTCATCAACTATTCATTAATATCCAATCGAGCCTCGCTCTGACAGCGTCCCCCCGCCCTTCCTCTCGAATCTCGCTTCCCCCCTTCCGGGATTTATAAAGTTCGAGGTCCTGCTTCCATGCTCTATTGAATCTGAAAATACGGGGAAACAACGTCATCCTATCAGCCCAAGGCAAGATATAGCTCAGGGAATCTCTCGTGTCCTCGACTCTCGGAGAAGCGTTCCGTGAATCAGAATCAGATTGATCCCGCTATCCTTCCTCGGGAACTCTCCATCTTCTCGATTCCAGGCCCGTGGAGGCCCCGTGTCGTTTCCCCGGAAGTACTTCAGCCGGGCGGAGTCTACTTTGTTACCCTGGAGCATCCTCTCTGGGATCTTATCATCTGAGCCGAATACGCCGCTCCTCATCCCGCTCTGATGGGGCCTCATCTCCCCTATTGATTCTTCCAAGCGGCCAGACGTCACCGACGCCAAACCTGCTGCCTCCGGAAAGCTCACTGAAGGCCGGAGCTCCTGCTCCCGCGGGAATTATTCAGTTGAGGTGTACAGAGATCACATCACGTGAAATTTTAAAGAAAGCAGACTCGATTCAATGTAGGTATCGTTCGCAAAGCATGAATCTTCGCAACCTTCGACCTCGTATTCGGTATTCGGGCACGAGAGGCATGGGCTGCAGCGGATATCTCGAGTTCCGATAGACGCGAACGTAGAAGGAGGAACAACGCGTCGTGGCAAATCGGAGAAATAAAAGAGGAACGAAACAAGAATAGCGTCTGAATCAGCAACTTGGCAAAAAGGATGAAAACCAAGAACGAGAGGAGAGTACCTCCTGGAGGAAATCATTCTCCCTGCTCGGCTGTCGGCTTTTTTCTTTTTCTAATCCAGGCTTTCTCCTCTCGACCGTCAGCCCGTTCGGTCGCTCTCTCCTTTTCCATCTTCCGTTTTTTTTGGGCATCCGAAGCGACGAGAGGGATGCAGGAGGGAAAAAAGTAGCAGGAGCACAAGCCGCTGAGGAAGAAGTGAAGCAAGTCAAAGCAAGAAAAATCGAGCTTTTGCCTTCCCCGCTTGACGGCAAGCAGACAGGCTGGCAAGCAACCCTATTGATCGGATCAGGATTTCACCCTTCAACTGTACGCTCGGTCGCAGACACAAAATGCCGTCATAATGGAGCTTTTGGGACTCCCACACGCGTCCAACCGCGCGGCTCCTTTCCGGCATAACTTCATCTCGAAACGAGCTCCACCGGCCAGGTTTTCGAAGCTTCAGAAAGAGTTCGCTCCTGACATCGCTGCAGCCAGAAACCCTTCCTTGGTGAGGATGGGAGTAAGTACGTCGCTCCGACACGATTTCCGGGCTGAGGGATGTAGATTCCGCACGGATAACATGGATAGCACCTATCGGGACCGATCTCTCAAACGTCTCAATTTGTTGCTGGGATGCGACGGCGCCCGAGGCGCCCACGACCGAGTCCAGTGCTGTTTCACATCTTGAACCGATGCTTTCAGCGTTTCGCTAAGTAAGTTAGCCAGACTGCCGGTGAGAAGATTTTATTTCTGCGTCTGCGCTAATCGTGAACCGAAGAAGTCCGCCAACGATGAGCCGGACCCACCCGTTCGCCGAGGGCGATTCGTTAGCGAAGCCTCGTCTTTGGATTTATTCCGGAGAAGTCGATACCTTATATCCGCCTAGCGTCAAGAACTCGCTTCGGCGCGTTAACGACGTGAGGACGAGGGCTCAAAGAACTCATGCCTTGATCCTTGAACATCTGCCGAGTCTGATGATCCCATCCCCCGTACTCGCCAAGCTCGGACCGGTGGATGAGTGAAGAGCCGGGACCTAGAACGAGACTGGGAATGACAAAAAAAACTGCGGATCCGCTCGCGTCTACACCATGCATCGATCCCAACACGTTGGGATACCCTCCTGACGCGGGATGTCACATTCGTTCTGTTTTCTGTGGTCGTGAATCTTCTCTGTCGTCGTACTCCCTTTTCACGAAGTTCGGGAGGCTGGCATGCTAGCGATCATATGCGCCCGCCAGATCGTAAGGGCGGACTGATCCTTGGCTTTTCAGCAGCGCAGCGTTAGAGGTGGGTCGTCGCTGCTGTCGCCGTGATCGCCGAAACTGTCGGCCGAGTCAATGAGGCGTTGAAAGACTCTGGAAAAAAGGACTTAAAAAAGAAGAGCCGACGATTCTACCCGTTATCCAAAAATCAATCCACAACAACAACAACATGAACTAGCAAGCGTCGTCAGGGCGGCTCTACATCGGGTTTTCGGCGCGTTGTCGCAGACGTCAACTAAGCTAGCTGTCGTGGACGAATTTGAGCGATGACGGGAAGTCTGACTGAGGGTGAAAAACAATATTCTGCTGCGATTGAACAACAATGGAAATCATTCATTCCACTCAGGAGTTGGGAGCTTGCTCGCCCGCCCGCCCGCCCGCCGCTCGTCCGTACGCTCGCTCGCTGGCTGGCTGGCTCGGACCTCGTACCCGATTTTCGAAGCGGCGCTAGTAATATTGGTAGGCGATCGCTCCCCGGAGGCGATGTTGTAAAGTTTTACACTCACGCAAATATGTCACATCGCACAGGTCAAAAGTTAGTTTAGTCCGTTAGTTCTCCTTCGTAGCTGATGCTGTGGCGGTGATGGTCGTGTTGCTATTACAAGGAGCTCTGGTAGACAAAAAAAAACAAGGGAAAAGGAGCAAGAGGGAAAAGTGACTCATCAGTCAAAAAGTTGTGCAATACATTGTTGGCCAGAGCGACTCTGTGTTCGTTTTGGGATATTGAAACATGGTTTTTGTTTCGGGCTTTTCTCTCAAGGCTTCCATTCCTGAAAAGAGTGACCCGCGACGGTGATTGGCAGGCAGGGACAATTCATTGTGCTACACGTCGGAGAAGTAAGAGAAGCTCAAACGGGAAAAAGAGCTTTCGGGTCATCATGGGCAGCAAATCGACGGATCTTATTGTGCGATTAAACACAGTATCCGTCGCCGTATACTATTCCCACGTGAAAGACAGTCTCGAGAGAGCTCCTCGCAGGCACGCAGGCGAATCAGAGCTCGCTTCGTAGGATGATGACTCTTCCTCATTCTTCCATGAATTCAATTGCGTCATCTCGGGAAATTTCTCTTCCCCTTCGCACCCCCTATCGCAGAATTCTCCGCGAGTTCCATTTTCCTTCATTTTCAAAAATTAGGCGTATATGAACGTATTTCTAAAAGCAGACGCCCCTTCCGTGACTCATCATTTCAACTTTTTATGTTCGGCATTCATATCTAATCTCCTGAATCTCCCGTCTTTGGAATCACGGACTCGCAGGCCCGTCCGCCCGCGCGTTCAACAGGGCTCTGCGGCGAGGTTCCGGGATCATTCGTGATTCTCTGCGATCAATTCCTGAGCTCAAAACACTTCTTGATGGCCGATAATTTTGAGTTTATTCATCGAGCCCGGTCACGGCATCCCGCAATCTCCGATAGTCCCTCCGGAAGCGATTAAGTTCCCGTTTCTAGTTCGGAACATTCCATGATTCCGGATGCCATACCCCGCTCCCGCTCCCAGGCAGTATGAGTTCCGAATTACGCTCTGAGGGGGACTCATTAGGGGCCTGCATTGGTTGACGGTGGGTGAAGTCGATGATATCATGTGGGCGGAAGTGGCAGGAATACATACACGTCAACACCGAATTCCCAATTGGAATAGAGAGTCGATATGAATTTTCCAAAATAGACGTCGGTTCACCGTTGGCGTTGGCGGGAGTCTGCTTATATCACTCCCTCTAATATTTCTATTGGTGCTTCACGGACGATACCGATCTTATCCCTCAGCTGAAGTAATGGACCGATCGTAAATCTCGTTCATGAAACCAATAAAAATAACTTGCGTACGGGCCGCTGGGAGGATGGTAGCTTAGATTGCGGATCATTGTCGTATGTACCGTGCAACGAATCAGGAATCAACGGTCTAACCTAATCATCAGCGAATATTTTGCGAAAATGAACTTCGCGGGAATGAACTTCACGAAAATATCGCGCGTTGAGCCCCCGGCGAATGAGTCACGGAATACACACGATATCATGGAGTCAGGACTAGCGGTACCCTCCACGGTACCGCGAACGGTACCGGCTCCTGCGGGAACTGACAACATAGTATCATGCCGCTCCAGCTGTAGCTGGTTCCGACGGTGATGAATTTTCAGTCAGCCGTTTCGGGAAAGAAGGATCGAAGCAGAAAGGGCCGCGACTTTCATTCGGCGAACGTCGGCATTCGGAGCAGGGCGCCCAAACGCCGCGAACGTTGCGGACGAACACTCGAGTCAAACGCAGTGATCACAGTGTGCTACGATAAAGACGTTTTGTGCTTCTCAACACCGAGCTGTGCTTTCGAGGTAAGAAATCCTTCGTTATCCAGACGAACGGAGACGGTGTTGAACAGCATAGAGTGAACAGCATCGACTTCTCGTGATCGTGACACGCTACTACGGATTAAAACACGAGATGCGAATCTTCACTCGAAGCTAACGGACGAGGCGAGCGCAGTCATTAGTGTATCGGGTACTGGTTCATTATTCATTCTTCTTCCTCCACTGAGTTCAGAAATCCGAGCAAGGAGCTCAAAAGTGAGCACACTTCAGATCGTCGAGAGTTCGGAGTCGCGCAGAATGAGCTCGAATTTCAAGGGATATCGGAGCAGCCGCCAGAAAGTCGAGCATTCGACAGCTGCTCCCGGGACAGGCAGCGACTC